CCGTATCGTGTGCTCCCGTTGTGTTTAGCCACAAAGAATTTCTGCAATGCTTTTGAGGGTAAGTTTCATAGTTCTGAATGCTAAGTTGCATTGTCACTGGTTGTCAATTTTCACTGTGGTACTAACAGGTCTCAGCTGGTATAATTAGGTGTGCCTGTGGTACCATGGTACCAGTGTGTAGATGCATCTACACCTGTTTCATAAATATCACTGCGCCATATCGAGGTTCAGCCTCACATTTGACGAGTGGTTGTATCCACTTAAAAACCGGATGTCGTTGATTTATTTTTGCGTGTTATTGTTAACAATGGAAAGTTACATCAGCGAATTTTCTTTTCTCACACTTCAGAGACACTAAATATGGACTTAAGGAGTATGTCGAAAATTACTTGTTCAGTTTCGTAGTACTGGCATGGTTAGTGACATCATTATACTACTCAGAAACTTTTGGTTTCACCTGTTGCGTCGAGATTCTCAACATTGATTGTGAAGAATTCTTCACTATAGTCATATTCCTCGTTGAAAATGTCTCCTAAACTTGGTTTTTTGACTTCTCGGTGGAAAATGTGTTGATAGGGAGGAATGAGACATGTATATCTGGTGGGATAATGACTGAAAAGTATTGCCGGGCTATTGATGGTTATACGTTCAGATGCAACCCCACTTTATATGATGAAGTCTGTATAAGCTGGTAAATCGTACATAATTGGTGACTTTCGGGACAATTCTCTAAGTCAAAGGTCTCCCTTAGTAATATATTGCGTATATGCACCCAGTATCTGCTACAGCTGGAGAAATAGTGAATACATTGGTTTAATATGTCTGTAAACATTTCTATGAAAATCTGGAACCGGTTTTTGCAACATATTAGAGATATATACTCTACGCAACCCATTTGTATCGTAGATACACTTCTTTGTAAATTCAAGCTGTTTCTAGGTTGTCTGAAGTTGGTGTCCATTCTTTACTGTTGCCGTGGCACATGGTCCTTTGAGACTTGTCATATTCAGAAATACAGTAATACCTGCGAAACTAAACTTTAAGCACCAATATATAGCAATGGAAAATGAAACTGAACGCACCAATCACGTGGAAAATCTGATTTTTACCAGTGAAATACGTTGTAGAAGACAATTAATAGGTAGTCATGTAAATGTCATAGGGTTTTTTCTTTGACGTGTGACAAAAGCAGTTTAGTCTCAGATTTGCATTTTTTTCAAGAGCAATTTCGCTGCTTAGATGTTTTGACAGTGTTCAATGTAACTGTAAAGAGGGCATTTTCGATCGTAGTTGGTCGGGGGAATTAGAAGATGTCCTGTTTGGTTTAAGGCAAATTTTTCACATTTTTATGAATTGATTATACCGGCAAAAAATTTCGATTATAAAATGATAGCGTATTCGGGGTCTTACATATGTTAACAATCAGTAGCTGGAGACTCAAGCATATCCACTCCTAAAATATGGTTAAGATATGTAGATGATACTTTTGTAGTACTAAAACGAGATCTACACAGTTCATTCTTGGAGAAACTAAACAATCTATCTCCCAGAATATAGCAGAATCAGACGTCGATAAACTCTCATTTCTAGGCTGCCTAGTTAAGAGGATGGAAAACGGCCGTCTGAAAATATCTGTGTTCAGGACTTCGGATCATCACATCCCATCAACGCAAAGGTATGAGTTGTCTCAAGTCTTCTTAGACGAGCACACTCTTTGGTAACGGATGGGAAGGAAAAAGAAGAAGAAATATCAAACATTACTGAGACTCATGCAAAATAACTACCCGAAGAACTTCATCAATAAAATCAATACTGGCATTAAATATGGTTGAAAACGCATTCCGAAGTCATGGACCTCAACAGTTGTCATTGCATATACAGCAGAGACATCAGATGATATCAGAAGAGTACTCAATAAGCTTAACATCAGAGGCTTCTTCAAAACAGACACACTGCGAAGCAACCTTGTCCATCCAAAAGACCAAATCCCCAAATATTCTCTATCCAATTGTGTCCATAAAATAAAATGCTTGGGATGCGATGCGATATACATCGGACAAGCATCTTGAGAAATCAAAATCGGAAGAAGTGAACACAGTAGAGCATCAGTTGGACCACCGAGAAATCCCGTTGAACTAGAAAAGCTTGAAAAATCATCACCCATAGGTCTACACGCTATAGAATCAGGACACAAAATTGGTTTTGACAATATTAAAATAATCCAAAAAGGTTTCAGAAATCACAAAGAATGTCTGATGATAAAAGCATTTCATATCAAGTTGAATCCAAGTTGTCTGAACAGGAATGATTGACTTAAACAGAATTTGACCTGATTACAACACCTCCCTCCCCCATGAAATGACAAAATCGACAGGAATGTGATGAGCAATTTCATCATATAAACACACGCTGCTTTCATAATTTTACACACTTATCAAATCCACTAATCTACACCTGGCTTTGTTATCTTTACCAATTGGCCAATTTGACAACGCAAAAATGACTCCATGCTGGAGAACGATGATTAAGTTTTTTATATATAGGCTCAAATTTTGTAAATTCTGGTTCAAAAATACTTTGATAAAGCTATTAGCAGCATTAACTAGCGAATTGTCAGTAAAAACAATATCGTTTCGTTTTTCACTCATTGGAAAATACAAAATACCTTTATCATATGTTCTTGTATTTCTTGATTGATGATGTTCTTTTCATTTAAGTCTGAATAGTTTTAATTGGTGGATGGTAACTAGCAGTGGAATCCAGGATGCGCGTTTTGTCCTATTTGGGACTCGTCACTGGATGTACCTGCATTCCCGGCTGAGTGATGATGTTCCCACCGAGGTTCGAACCCAGTGCCCATAGTTTCAAACACCAGTGTTATCCACTAGACCACTTGGGCTACGAGAGCCACCTCTTGTGCAACGAGTCATTGATTATTGAACTGAATTTTAGATTCTGTCGTCGATTGATTGAACCGAAGTGCTCAGTCCCTATTAGTCCTCGCAGTTATTATAACTATGTACACTTATAACAGCTGTGTTCTCCAAATCGTAAAATCAGTCAAGATTTCTTCTACAAGATATCCTTGAATTAGATGTGGGTGCTTTGTAGCATGGACATCCTACATATTTGTCAAGTAAGGGTAGTATGTATATTTTTAAGGCATATTAAGGGTGATAAACTAATCAGTACAGAGTATTCCTAAAGCTTCTGAATAGTAATATATGACCGCCATTGTTTTCCATCTACTAACGTACTGTACTGTGCAACCTTCCTTTAAAAAAATAAGCATCAAGTCAGAGGCACACAAAATATTACTTTGAATCCGTTTAGCATATCAAAACTACGGTAAGTGCACAAATTAACTGCAGTCATCCATGTTACTGACACAATCTTCGTATTTTTTTGTCTGTTAACGGTAGAAACCATGTTGCTAAGTCCTCCAAAAGACAGGATTATGACACCATTATTGCAATGTACGACCTAGAAACATGTTTACTGCCAACCTTTTTCTTTTCCACATCTACAGTAATTTGTTGATTGTAAATTGTGAAATTTGACTATATAGTAAAATAGTGATTGAGTAAAGCAAAATATTTTCCAACTCATTAACGATTATTGTTATTTTGACTTTCAATATGTCCTTTTAACTTGACCTAAGTATTTTCTCACCTCTTAACTCTTTGTTATATATATACTGAGATTTTGTAAATTCCGGTTTAATAATACTTTAATGCAAGTGAAAAGCAACAAGTTGGCAGAAGAAGCATCAAAGATAGGCCTTCAGGTGATGAAGATTCCTGGCCAACACCAACAGCAGTAACAACAACAGACAACAATAAGCATAAATGGGAGGAACCTGAAAGAAACTACCTCCTTTGCCTACCTGGGAAGCATCGTTTCAACTACAAGCGGAACTGACTAGGATATCAAAGCAAGAATCGGGAAAGCCAGACAAGCTTTCACTACTCTCAAGTCTGTGTGGACGTCAACAGCATTCAGCGTCAAAAATAAGATCCGGATTTTCAACTCCAATGTGGTCAGTGCTACTATACGGATCAGAGACTTGGAGCGTCATAAAGAGCACCTCCAACAAACTACAGACCTTCAATACTCAAGATCAGATGGCCAGAAAAGATCAGCAACAGGGAGGGATCTCTGGGAGCGAACCAACCAGGAACCGACTGTGAAACAAATAGGCAGGAAGAAATGGAGATGGATTGGCCATACTCTGAGAAAACCATCAAGTGACATCACTAGACAAGCCATTGCTCGAGTGGAATGCGAAAGGGAAGCGGCGAGTTGGTCATCCAAGGGTGACTTGGAGGAGGTCATGTGAAGAGGAGATGAAAGCATGTTGGCAGACTTGGAGCCAGGTGAAAACTCTAGTAGAGAACCGAACGCAATGGAGAGGCGCGGCTGAAGCCCTATGTTCCTCTAGGAATTAAAGGAAACAATAAAATAATACTTTGATAAAGCTATTAGCATTAAATAGCGAAACGTCAGTAAGAGCAATATCGTTTTGTTTTTCATTCATTGGGAAATATAGAAACCTTTATTATAATGAATATCATATACCTAATGCCCAAACTTTTTCAAACTGTTAAAAGTGAACTTGGTTTGGACATATATATCATTAACGAATATTGCCTGAAAAGTGCTCCTGTTAAGCAACAATAAAAAATGGAGGACTTCCTAAATAACTGCATAAGGGTCTTGGCTAGGTCTGCTTTGTAATGCTTATCTACATTTTGGATTTGTGCTTGTTAAGTAGTTTTCTGTGTATATGTAAATGCTATTCACTTTCTCTTTCTGTACTGTCACGAGATATAGCAATTCGATTTAAAGATATATCTTCTGCGATATGTACAACGATTTCTTGTCAGCTTGAGTGTGGCGATATTAAAATTAAAAATACGTGTTTTGTCTGGCTTTTCATCTCAATGTATGCAATATTTTATACTTATATTAATTTATAGCCATTTAATTAATTTCTTAGGATGTCTAGCCGTCTGTTGACTGGTGGAGAATGCCCACAAGGTGTTCTGGATGTTGTTGAAGGCGCTATTGGCTACCTTGCTTTGTCGGTTGGATATACAGCCATTGAATATGCTGCACTGAGAGTGCTTTCAAATCTTTTCTTCTCATGTAAGTGAACTTTCATAGTACTTATCGACAATGCATCGTTCAAAACATTTACCTCTCAGGTTAATTTAGCTAACGAGGAGATGGAAACAATGCATATCATTTTCCCATTTTATCCTAATTTCGTAGTTGAGGGAGTTTCGCCAAAGTATATATGTTGCCATATCTAGTAATATTAATTACAAGAATATAAAGTGTACACGTATTTAGTGTCGGCGTGACGAACTTTATCCGCCATGCGATGGCGCCTCTTAGTTGCGTAGAGATAGGTTTGTGGAGTAGACTGTACACCGTTGATAAAACGTTCAGTGCTCATGACTGAGAAAAAAACCATACGAACATGACAAGCACTTTTCGTGCTGGTCAATAATCACACTTGGTTAATAGCGTAAGTTAGATGTTTGAAAAAATGTCTTGTCCTTGACTGGTGTGGTCTTGAGGAGACGAATGCACAGTAAATTATAGGTTCAATGAATTGCACTTAGTGGGTTAATGAGCTATGAATGATTAGCGATCGCTTATTGAATTATAAGACAAGGGGTCACAAGTTCAAACTTCATTCCAATTATCTAAGCTTGTGTAGTTAAATACTGTCTTTAGTACGATACACAACTTGTACTAGTCAAACAGAGTAGTCTGCTCCTCGAACTGTTCTTATTAACTAGCCGTTAGAAATAGAAAGCTTGTGTATTTGGATGTCTTTCTGCTTATTGATAAGTGTTTCTCATGTCAGTGGTCCTGAAATAGTAAAATCGAGCACTTTTGAATTCTTTTTAACCTTAATATAAACGCTCAAGTCAATAATGTTTCTTTATGTGTGACAATCCTGTACTCGGCTCATCATAATTTCCTAAATAGAGTCTGTTAAAGACTTTTTTCTAGAATAAAATATCTATTCACTTCATTTTGGTGGCTCCCTAGCTGATTTTGATCTGTGACTAAGCAGACCTTAAAATCGATAAATCCTCCAAATCTAACGAATATTATCTCTGATGAGAACAAGTAAGGGGGATGATTTGAGATATCGTCTGAGGTTTTAGTTACCATGTGAAATTATTTTCAAGGTTTCTTGAAATTCTTATGACTTTCAGCTATGATGTGAAGTGATAGTGCCACTTTTCATCTTTTTAAACTAGTCATATTCATCAACAAAATATGTTGCAAGTATGTTGTTTATTTTTAATTTGATTACATTTGTCAATGAGGGAAAATGGTTGTTAGATAAATTTTTATTACAGGTTTGATAACGAGTTGACATCGGTTCGAGAACCTTTGGAAAACCTAGGAGTACTGGACAGCCGTTTCATCCTAGTGTGGGACTCTACCAGTACTCACCCGCTGGGTTCGAACCCGGAGCCCTTCGGTTACAAGGCAAGCTCACAGACCATTCAGGCAATGGGACCCAATCCGATGACCCATGGATTTCAAATTCTGCCAATTTCCGATATATATAGTGGATGCATGCTGCTTAAGAGTCCTAAACTACAGTGAAACAGCTGTCCAGTGCTCTCAGGTATTTCAATGGTTCTCTAACTAGTGTCTACCAGTAAACAATCTTATGCCTATAAGCCAACACTTGATAAATTTTTAATAGGCTTTATGGTGGTTAATTAAAAATTGCTAGGAAGGTTTTAGAAACAGTAATCTTTAATGTATAAATGAACTCTCCCACACTGCTGTGCTTACAGCTATTTCATGTCCATACTTCAGATATTTTGAAAGTATACTCAATATTGGTTTTATCAGTGTAGTTCTTGCCTCTTACATGATTAGTGCTACTCCCATAGTGAATGCTTAACACTTTATTCAGCATTAACGTAGTTTGTTTCGTTTGCTCTAGACAAAGTGATTTGTGATTATAAACTATTGATTGTAATTTTAAAGGATACTACTATCAAATACATTTGTTGCAGAGTGAAAGCTGTCACACACTGTTGCGTATTTTTATATTTTTATAACTTATTGGCATTTTTCAGTTACTGAAGACTTAGCTGTTTCATCACTTATGAATGCTGAAAGCACTGGAAGAACGTCAATCCTTTTGAGCGATATCGTACTTGGATTAATAGATTTGGGGTTTGATGTTTCAGGCCTAAATGAAATCCCCCGTAAACGCATGTACAGAGGATGTAAAGAACGTATGTTTATTGATTATTTTTTTAGTATTGACAGATTTAATGTTTGTTCACATATAAATGGTCTGTGAGGGTGTTCGACTTACTGTTAAAATTCTGTAAAAGTGAGGTAATGGAGGTTAGATTGCTCATTCTGTAAGCGTAGTCTCATGATACAGGTTGCTAAGGTAAGAGAGGAATTAGATCACTGTAGGATACTTTAATTCCATAGTAAAATTAGTTTTTGCTTTAAATAGTATCCACCTACACAGATAGCACATTTGTACGTCAAACCAATAGTTGGAAACAATTGGTGATATACCTCAAAATCGTTCTCAGTGGCGCAGACGCATCCATTATTTGTGACTTACAATTTCCAACGGAACTATATTGTTCTTCGCTATTACTATTCCTTTTGTTTCATTTTCCTGTCGACTGTCTCTATATTTCATTTCTTCTACTTTCTTCTCTTGCTTTGTGTGCTACATGGAGTGTGGCGACTTGAACTGCCGCACATCGGTGCAAAGTTCTATGTCGATTACAGACAGACAGACGTCAAACAAGAGATTACTTATGGGGTAACAAAATAAAGTCTTTGTGCGATAGGGGTGCAATCACAAAATATCATGAAATGTGAGATGCTGATAGTGATTAGTCATAATGGATTCATACTATGTGGGAAAAGAAAGTTGACAAGTTAGTTGAAGGTTGTAAAATGTATCTGGTGAGTAAGTGTCTAGTACAGAACAGTATGCATTAACGAGGAGATAGTATGACTTCGGTGAATAGTTCATCATGAAGTAATCAATATGTGAGATGAGAAAGCTGGAGTCATATATTCAGAAAATCGATAATATCACTAATAACAGATCGGAATAGTATGAATGGAAAATTCAATAGTAGTGAAAGAATGCTAGCATGAAGGGCATAAATTATAAAACAGTTTAACTAAAACTGCTTGGACAAAGAAATAAAAAATAATAATCGAAGTAAGAGAAAGAAAATAGGAGAAAAAGACACACTTGAAGGAGAGCAGAAGTTTTAATATAAGTTTAGCCATCGTAGGGGACACTACCTGAATATGTTCTTTTCGAATACAAAGTCCTGGTATAGTCCGTCGTATCGCAACGGCTTCAGTTATATTTAAAAGATGCAGGGGAACTGTGTGTGATAATGATCTCAGAATATGGTAAATAATCATGAAGATTATGTTAGAGTCGATGCTATGTCCTGTTTCAACCCAATGTGATAGAATCGAACTTCGATTGATTTCACCCTTTTTGTATCAAACTGGTAAATCTTCTGGAATCCGTAGACGAACCTGCTTAGTTGCACGCCCTATATGACTGAAACCAGAAAAAGTTAAGTCGGTATACGCATGAGGAGGAGCTAAGATTAGGCAAGACATCGTTCAGTTTTACGGTGGATATTGGATGCCTACTGGAAGATAGGGACTGATGTCCGGAGTAGAAAGTCTTCTTTATCTCCCTGATTAGACGTTGGTATAGAATCTCCGTGTGTATGGCTTTTTGCCTACCGTTTCTGATTCATGTTTGCGACTGTTACAACTTGTGTTAACCTTTATTAAAATTTTCCTGATATTCGTTTTCGCTTAGAATATCGCAGATGACGTGGAGTCCCTTCTCTACTTGGTCATCAGGAAAAATTAACTTCGCTGTAAGTGCTAAGCACTTGATCAAATTGCGCTTGTGTTTCATTGGTGTAAAGCTAATGAATCGTGTATATTGGGCTTCAGTCTCTAGTTTCCTAAATATGGTTCTCTAAATGGATTCATCTCCTATTCTTGTTATTGAGATGTTGAAAATGTGTTGAGTCATAGAATTCTCCTTCGTAGGTGAAGTGAACTGCTAGGTGAGCAGTATCAGATTGGTTTAAAATCAAATCATTACGTGGACATTTATCGTAGACCACGAAAGTTTCATCCATGCAGCGACAGTGCGGTTCCATATTTACCGTTTCAAGTTTCAATGAACCATTTTTTATACTAGTTTATATATATATATATATATATATATATATATATATATATATATAGCTTCCATTGTCAATCTCTCCCTACACTCTGTTACTTAAGATTTTAAAACTGTCATCTTATCCCATTCTATTTTATGGTTGTGTGTAATTGCATGTAGTGCTACAGCTAAACTATTCTCCACATTTCTTATCTTATTCGGGTCAACTAATCCAGATTTAGCTAGGTTTTTATGCTCCACTAGTCTGGCTAACCCTGTTCTACTACAGTGACCTAATTGATAGGATTATGAACAATAAATTGTGTTCGAAACGTCATCCAGTGAATAATACTGTTTCACTGTGTGATACATATAATAATCCAATTAATATGGAATTACATACTACCACAGTGTCCAAGTTCTCCACATATTAAAAGACGTTTCCTTTTAAAGAAGAGGCCTGTTAAAGGAGATACTATTACTAGTACTCTGTCATTTAACATGCCTCTTCTCAATAATTGGGAATGTAAAATCTATACATTTTGTTGTAAACTGTCTTCAATTTGGAAAATATGTTTGGTAGACGCTTGTTGAAACTTGAGACGATATAATAAGACTACTCTGTTGCCAATTACATAAAAGTTGTTAATTTCCAATCTTAGCTGTTGCCATTGGCGGTTCACAAAGGAAAGGTGTTTCATGCTCTGCAGTATTGGGTCCAGGTGGGACAACAATTATTCCTCGACCGTTGTCTTTACGTCTTAATTGGTCGGGCAATCCTCGTCTTGGGGCAATGGGATCTACATGTACTTCTAATTCAGGTGCTTCAGACCAACTGTCATCTTCTTTACCACCTCCAGCTCCTGCACACCTACAGCTTCCTTCACTACCTGAACCACACACCTTTGTAACCACACGAGTTAGGCGTGCACCAATAGCTCCCGACCCAGCTTCATTACGCCGTCGTGTAGCTGAACAGCGTCGTAAAGTTCAACAGTCCTTGATTCGATTTCTGGGTCGTGTTCAGCCCGTTCAGTATCTGTTTCCGGGTGATGCAGAATCATTTATGCGTACGTTTATGAGTGATTTAAAGTTTAATATCATTATTTAAATGTGTTTTGCATGCTAGTGAGTTTCACAATGTTATTCTAAGCAGTGCAAGTCACTTTTCTTAAGATGAATAAAATTAAAGTAACTTATTAACTGAAGCATGACCAGATGAAATCAACCAATCAGGAGTATATAGTCTGATGTATGAATAACTTTTTCTTTTCTCGTTAATATAATAAGAGGCTTACTATTTTGTTTTAATTTATATCAGCTTTCACTTTTATGTTTGTATTACCATTAAATCAACAAGTAGTGGTCAACTGTGAAGTCTTTGATTTCTTAGCGGTTTGTATTGTCCCTTATTCAGAAATGCTACGAAGTTTTTGATTTATTAGTCACTACTTTTTTGATGATTAGAGTAAATTAACTTTTAAATTGATCTGTGGGGATCTTCATGAACTTCAATGGTTAAGTATACACAGCTCTTAATAACTGTTTTCAAATCTACTTATTCTATCTACTCGGTGAAATTGATTTACAGTTGAGGCTGTATTTCCTTTAGATGTCGGGATGTGGGTGAAGATATAACCCATTGCAAATCAAACTTACCACGCTTTCGTTTCAGTATACTTGTATAGGTCAATTACGACTTGAATTTTCTCAGATAGTTGATTTAGTAGTACGGGCCTAGAGGAATGCTGTAATTATATAGGGTGCTATGTTTGGCTAATTTAAAAATATTTTGCAACTTTATGCAGCTAGAGTATCTGTTGTGACGTTTGCTATACTATGCGTGAAAACACCTCACAATAGCTTTTATCCTCGCTCCAGGGTGTTTAAGTGGGTGGTGAGGAAATACAAATGTCGTCAAAAATATCATACAGAAGGTCAAGAAGATTCGTTAAAAATGTGTTTATACCAGTAGCTTATTTGAATTCATATTTTATTTCGAAGTTCGGACATTATTATGGTCTTGTGCATCCTGTATAGGTTTATTCAGTTGATTTCATATGTTGTGAGGCACTGTAACTGCTTTTTGTCATGAATTGTGATTCAGGGCTTTTCCTCATAGTTTCGACCACTAAAGTTCATATGGAAGGGATTAGGACCATTCAGTTGTGTAGTAACTTTCGAGTTATACATACTAGTGAATTTGAATAAGTTGAAGCATAGGCAGGAAGGCTTCTGGCTGATCCAAGCCATAATGTATGATGACCATTCACAAAAGTCTATGGGTTTCAATTCTTTTGGTTGGTGTTTTTGAAGAAATTATTTCTAATCTCTTAAGGATTGTTATTATTACAGGTAAGTTTTCACCCATTTCGGCCTAATTAGCGCATAAAATCACTCCGGCTTAATTGGAACTTAATTTTTGTGAAACTGAGATTTTCGGAGAGAGGACATATTAAAGCTTCGTAATCTTGGTAGCAGTTCTGCGGATACTTGTTTCGGCAGAATTAAATACATTACCTGTTGGGTAAGCAGTTATTAATCAGAATATATTTGTGGCATCCCAGTGGAGTGGCAAGGTTTCTGATATTCTACCTGTTTAAAGCTTTTTCTTCTCAGTTCGAAACATATACGGGTTACTTATTTAGATGATAAATAGAGTGAGTTACACTTTACTCTTCATACATGCAAAAAATAAGGCATGTTACTGCTACTGAGCAGTGCTCAATGGGTAGAATGTAATTATAGGGATTTTATTCCTTGGACACATGCGTTTGACTATCTTCCGTTTTTAGAACGTTTCAACAACCATTAAGTAAATTGAGATTTAATGTCTGGTTGATTACCTGTGTTATTTTCCCCTCCTGATAGCTGAACATCAATTTTGTAATTGTTAAAGGTAACTGCTGTTGTGGATCGGTTTGTAGCTTCGTCATTGTTACTATATTATTCAGCGGTTCGTAACCTGCGTGGTCCTTATCTCGAATATGAGTTTCATGCAAAAATTCCTCAACGCAATATGTTTCGTAGTCGGTTATTACGATCATTTGTAAAAAATAAGGTAGATGCCTTTCAAATTGCAACCAAGGTGTATTTCATCTACTCAGTTTGCTGCGTACTGTTCAACGTTACCGACCGTGTTACTTTACAGTGGAACTCGGTCACAGAGTATCGTGTTAAGTATTGAAATATTTTTTGGAATTACTATCTAATTTTATCATTCTACGAAATGCGAACATGTGCAGGTTGATTATATGCTGCATTCAAATGCTTCATTTTTGTTGTCGCTAGTATTTGTCTAAGATTTGAATTCATGAGAATATTCTACAGGTTATTTTTCTGTTTTTCTTTTCGTATCTAGTGATAACTCCAAAAACTTCTCATCGTCCGTACTTATCAGCTTTACTCGCTGGTGCATCAACAAGTAAGGATGAACAAAATTCTAAATCAAACACCTTGACAAAGAGCGTCTCTAATCAACCTGCTGTAGTGAAAAATCGATTTTTGCTAAAACCGAAATTCCCTGAATATTGACCTACACTGGCTACCTTTATTTCGCATATATTTCCTTCCTTTTCGTTTCTAAGGATTATTCTTAAGATTGTCATTTATTCAAGTCTGGACTTACTTTTTGTTAGAAATTACTCCTTTAACTGTCCAGCACGAATTTGTTCAGCAATACTGGCTTGTTGTCTAGCAGCGACATTTTTCTACACTGCTTTTTTGATTCTTTCGTTTTCCTTTTGTTACTTACGTTTCTTCTTCCCCTAACTTACAACCATTTCTAAGTCTTTGATACGTTTACTGCTGGCTTCTTCAGTTTTGATAAATGACATTATAGATCAGCATTATTAAATACAAGCTGTCTGGTTACACTTATTTAAATTACCTAAACTATTTAAAGAAAAGTTGATTTTCCCCATTTTGAACTGCGTCGGTGGCATAGCGGTTAGGACGCTTGCCGACCATGCACATGGTCCGGGGATCGATCCCCGACCGACGCACTCCTTTACCTCGCTAAGCCGGAAATAATGCTGGTGAAGAGGAATGGTTGGGCATGAGGCTAGCAACCCCATCCTGTAAAAATAAACACTGCTACAGAAACTTCAAGCCACTAGCTTGAAGCCCTATGTTCCACTAAGGAACGTGAAGGAAAAAAATTTTAAAAAAGTTAATTTTCCCCATTTTGAACTGCACTGTTGTAATCTTGATCTTCTTCTAATAGTCCATCTACCGGAGTTTGAGGTAAACATGCAGTAAATCATAAAAGTAAATCTGTGACTTTGCTACCTTCAGTTTTTTTCGTGCGAGTTAACTAAAATATAGCTTGTTAACAGCTTACAGTTATACGAGAAGATGAGACCAAGTGAAGGTTTTTGAAAACTAACATAGTATCATGCTCTAGAAATTCTGCAACAGGTGTTTTTTTGTTTCATCAACTCATCAGCATGCTCGCAGTAAGAATGATTCAGCATTTCTTTTAGACACTTGAAAATTATACTTTTGTTATAACAGTATGCAGAAAGCCTAGAATTACAAAGGAAACCAGATCTCAAAGTTGTGCAGCTAAATTTACTATGATTATGAACTGTGAATCGTGTTCTAATGTTGATTCAATATGTAATAATCTTTCACTGTACAGTATATCTAATAAACGAATTAGTGTAGAAATAAGTGATTCTACAATAGACAAGTTCTGTTCTTTTTTCGTTTATTTCTCTTACATTTCTCATGTCAACTTTTGTTATTGTTATATCAGCCTGTAGTAACATGATTTCTGTTATGTTTGCAAACTACTTACCATAATTCAATTAAGTTTTCTAGTGTATTGATTAATATATTTATATATACTACCTTGATTTTTCCACAGAAAATATAAGATTGCGTTTCGATTCGGCACACTTAGAACATATGTAAGCTGTTTCAGTTAAGAATTTATTTCATTACTTAACTTTCATTATGCAGCTATCCAACTGCATGCGGTGATACAGTCATCCTGTGTTTGCTGACTATATATTTCATGTGATAACGTATTATGCTGGGAGCTTTGTGGCGCGTATATTCAAAAGCGGTTTACTGTTTTCAGGGCGAGTGCTGGTCCCGTGTTTTTTGTTTATATCTCCCTCAGTTAGGTTAAGACATCAATTAATGTTCTAAATGCAATAACATGTCGTATAAATGTACTATTATTCATACAAAAAATGAAGTAATTTAAAGTAATCAGTAGTGGTTTTGATAATAACAAGTTATCGGTTCATCTAATGTTAAGAAAAGTTACATAATTAGAAATATTTAGGATTAGATAATAACACTTCGTCATCAGTAGTACAACCTCCCAGACGAATAAAACCAGTTTTACTGTGTAAACACTTCAGTTTCTCCATTTTTTCAGAAGTTATATGATATTACAATTAGTATAAAATTTTAATGATATGCTGAAAGAGTAAGACATTTTGTTGTTTGTTCGTTACTGTAAACTCTGTTATACTGAATTTGTAATTCTTCAACTGAAGTGAGAAATCTGCCTAAAAAGCTTTTGATGTGCGATTCCCATGATTCGGGTTCATTGTGCATAGATGTATCTGTTTTGTCTAGCTCAGGATTATTGTCTGTCGATTGTTGTTCTTGAATATTAGTTTCTTCTGGTGATTCGTTTTTCTCCAGTTTTTCAATCTGAAACTGAAATACGCGAATCATTATATTACTAAGTGATTTTGACAACATTTAGATATCCGATCACGTTCCAAGTATCTTCGGTGGTATAAAGTTTCGGTACTTCACTATTGTAAACTCAGCATATTATGATGAGGATGATATTCGATGTCCACCTTTTTAGCACTAATCTGACGAAATAGTATAAGCGCATGCACACAATTAATTATTGTCCTTTTACAATGCACTGGGTATTTTTGGGGAAGAGGTATGCCGTGTATCATTCTGATACAGATGTTTCCTACAAACAGATAAGATCATGTATGACTTCGTATAAGTTGTATTAATTCATTTTGACGTATTTTAAGGCAATGGAAAAAAAGCGAACGAATCAAAAGTAATAGTCTGACAGAGAATAAATCTCTAGCCAGTTGCGTGAATTTATGGGGAATGCACCTGTTACTTTGTGAACTGTAGTGTATTTCTAACTAAGAATTTCGTACAAAAGTGTTGCAGTTCAAGTTATCACACTTGATAAAAACATATATTAAGATGGAGAAAAAAGACAGCGCAGAGAAACTAGGGTAGCCAGAAATATACGAGAAGAAGAATAGTTACATAGAGTATGATGAAAATTATAGAGGGCATCTGCGCCATTCAGAACGATTTTCTGGCGTGTTGTCAGCAAACTCGATCAATTAGTTCTTAGCGTCCAAACTATCCCAACCGTGCCAATTAAACCTACCGTCATGGCTGCTTCAAATCAACAGTCAAAGACTTAATGGATTGACGCAAGGTTTTGATGTAACAATTGCCTAACTATTTTATAACGTATTCCTATACTCGCTAACATTCCATATCGAGGTACATAATGCTTACGCATGCCTAACAGAACCTAGCGATCTTAACCACTGCAGCCTCAAAAAATCGTGGGCTGGTTCCCCTCCTTACCTAAAATTACTTCTAACCTCACTATTACTGATGATATCATACCACCTAACGTGACCGATAGAAGACAAACACTTATGGTCAGAGACGGCCAGGCTTCCAGCAGCCGTAAAGACGAAGCAAAGTGCTTCACAGTATGTACGTCGTTTGGTATCATGCCAGCACTCGGGATGACGTTAGTTGACAAATGCCACACCAGCCTTTTGTGTTAGTGCTGAGATTTTGTCAGTAGCCAGTTCATCAAGGTTGGCCTGGAATAACTGAAGTGGCTAACACGCCCAACAATTTCAGTCATCCTTAAACTAGAAGTCAGTGCAGACCAGTCCTGCAGCATTATCTTACACCTGACAGAAGCGAACAGCACGCCAAACATTCGAAGATTTCTGCTCAAACTGTTCAGAAGACTGCACTTCACCAGCGTCGTCACCAAAGACTATATCATCCCCACACTGTAAATCGACGACTGTACCTTGGTAAAATGTCAACCCCTGAGTCGTTAAAGTCAATTAGGGTCGATTCCATTAGTGCATCTAAGAAGGAATAAAACAAAAATAGGGATAGTGGGCATCTCTGGTGGACATCACTCGTTGTTATCACTTCAGATGACAACTCTCCGGAAGCTTTTGCACGGTTGTCCGAGTTCGAGTGGAATGCCTGGATTACTGCAATAAATCTCGGCACTCCTTCACGTCCAGACATTTCCCCAGCACCCCGTCGATCGACGCAGTCAATCACTCCTTCAGGTCAAGAAATATGGCAAGTGTTGGAAGCCGGTAAATATGTCTGCATTCCAGAATCTGTTGAAAGGTGAAGATATAACTAATACACCATCTTCTTGGCCTAAAGCCTGCTTGGTTTTCATTAGTTTGTGTCCCCTGAGCACAACTTAGTCTGCAAATGATTATTAAGCTTTGGACTTTACATACTGTGATAACCAACCTGATCCCCTGATGTTAGCACAGGAGGAATGGATTCCTTTTTTATAAACTCGAATAATCAGGGGTTAACACCAGTCCAATGGAACTATTTCTGATTTCCACACATAACCTCGCATATTAGTTAGCTCAGTCGATAGTTCATCATTATTCTTGAATACCTCTAGAATCGTTCCATCATGCCCCGTTGTTTCACCGCGTTTTATATTAGAGATGTCTTTTGCAACCTCAGTTACAGTTGGAGCATTGTTATGTACATCCCACTGGGATAGGTGTTGGATACTGGGCGAACTTGGTGTGAATTTGGACCAATTAATTATTGCCTCAAAGTCTTCTCTCCAGCGTTCCTGTCGTCTACTATGAGAGGTAATTAGTGCTGTCCTCTTAAATAGTTTCGCCTATCATTGGCTTTATTCCGAATGAGTTAGAATAGCTGTCTCGTATTATTCACATCCGAAGCATTTTGTTTATCTGGCTTTTGTCGCCCACCACCATTCATGGTCGTCACAGAATCTTTTCGTCATTTTCAGATACATGTTTAGTTATTTCTTGCCTAAGTTAGGACCTGGTATTCTGATCAAGTATTCGACTTTTTAGCTGCCTATTTTCAACCCCATTCAGTCGCGGGCGTATATGTACACGGATAATTGCGTAGTGTTTGTCTACACTGGTGTTCCAGAAGGGGCTGACTATATCAGTCGACAGTGTGTAGCATCATAATCTGTTTGGGCACACCTTTGATTTGATATCACCATGTGAGATTGTCTCTCCTTTTATTCGGAACTGGACCAAAAACATGACTATCTGAACACGAGTGTAAAAGAGGATTATGGTTATTGGTTCGTCGGTTTTAGAACTCTATAATATTTCGACTAGTATGGGTTCCCTACTTGATCATTTAGATTATCTACTAAGATGTCCAAATTCGAAATTTTTTACTTTTAGTAACAAATTATACAGCTTTTGCTGAGACTTATCCTTTACCTCATCTAAACTTTAGGCGATTAGTGCGTAAACGACGATTATGAAAAGCCATTGACGAGTCTTTTCCTCCTTTTATAGGTCTGTCTAGTCGGAGAGCAGACATATGGTCGTTGATTGGAATGCGATCAAGTAGCTAGTTTTGTACTCATGAGATGCACACTTTTCCCACACCTGCAAGTCTTTGCAAACAAACCGCAGAATCTCTTCACACCTCACTTGGGTCTTGTGTGCATGTTTTTGAGATATCTTTAGACGAAGAAACCAGAGTTCTAAATGCAGTCTGATTTGGCAAAAGGCATTGACAATGAGAGCTACAATATTAGGATGGTAGTGTGGTTTTAAAGGAATATAAAGGTATGTGGTTACTAGGGAAGCCTTGTGGGCTATTCGAAATGTGTGCGGGCGATTACTACCTCCCAGGTGTCCTGACTGACTGATTTCAACATAGAACCTTGCACAAATCCCGACCGACAGCTGCTACCTTGATGTGGTAGTCGTGCTTGCACATCACAATGACCCAACAAGCTACACTAGCTGGAACTATTGTTCCTGCAGGTCCGACCATGCCGGGTAGATTGTTAGGACAGCGATTAGACTAAAAGCAGTTACCGGCATAGTATAAGAATTTTTTTACACTATGCTGGGGGTCTGTGGGCGAATTCGTACTGCTGGGGGAACAGGGATGTAACAGCAGTGAGGTGTTTCCCTCAGGTTACCAGCATGCCAGCTATGCTATCTTTCCACTCCGGAGGGAGGGGGTTAGAAAACGTCGACCCCAAAAATTGTACATCCCGACTTACTCTACGGTGGTCCGTAATCGGCGGTAAGTTTACTAATACGGAACCATTCCAAGAAACCAGCTTATACAGGCCGTGTGTGACCGGCCTCAGCCAGTTGACCCCCTGCACTCTGTGGTCACGCGATACTAACCCTCTTTCTGTTTCAGGTACCCAAATAATCAATCAACTTCCACGGTGTGGGCAGCCGGGAAGTAACAACTGCCCACACACTTCCAAAAGCACACAAAGCTTCCATGAGCATCATTCTCGTTTACCCACATTACCTTCATTACCTTATTCGCCTACTACAGTTAGTATTATTCTTCAGGCTAGTGAGTCATCTTCACCTCATCTTCACCACAAACAACGTTGAAAGCCATAGAAACACCCCAGATAGCCTTTTAAAGCTACGTCACCAACTTCATATACGAGTATTTAACGTCAAAATCCTCTGCCAAATCGGACAACAGGCATCACTAACCAGAACTCTGGCATCTTGAGCCATGGATGTACGTTGTGTTTCGGAGACACGCATACAAGACCCAAGTATGGTCATTCACTTAATCTCACCCGGCCAACAAGGTGAATCTGCAAAATTCACTTTAAAGGTGTCAGGAGACCCCTCAGCTAGTTCGTGAGGACTCGCAGGTGTAGGGATAGCATTGAATGTTAGGGCAGAAAAGTCACTCCTTGACTGGATCCCAGTAGATAGTTGTATGTGTGCGGTCCGTCTGAGTGGGTCCGTTAGAAGAAGGAAGGGCGGCGTTACTCGTCGTTGTCTTTTTGTAGTCACCGCTTACGCTCCAACGGACTGCAGTTCGGATGAACTAAAGAATGATTTCTACCAGAAACTGTCTAATTTGCTGCAAAAAGCAAAACGTTCAGATATAGTTGTTTTAGCAGGCGACTTCATTGCCGAAGTAGGGACGTTGTGCCAGACTGAGAAGTATGTAGGTGGTACGTATGGAGTTCCCTGACGACTAACCGACAAAGGTGATCGTCTTCTACAGTTCTGTTCAGATAATCATGTGTTCTTGGTCAGGGCTAACTTTAGGCACAAAGAGAGACACTGGGTAACCTGGCGATCTCCATCACCAAATCAACGTTGGACTCAGATAGACCACATCGTCATAGGGTATCGTTGGCGAGGGTCAGTAGAAGAGAAGACTCTCGCTCCTCCTGGAACACGTGCGTAGACTCCGATGACGCTCTGGTCCGCACACGTTTATGCTTACGTCTAAACCTTCATAAAAAATTGTTGGCAGCGAAACAGTTACGTCCCCAACTACACCGAGTCTCTCAGCCCTGTTTAAGGAGGAAATAGCGAAACGTGTATCTGAGGTCGACAGTAGGACTTCCGTTGAGGTAGCCTGGCGCAATATACAGTTAGCTGTAGACACAGCTGTAAAATCTGTTAATAACTTAAAACCGAAAGTTAGTAGAAGCCAGTGGATTTCTACCGCCTCATCCAAATTCATTGACGCAAAAAGACTGATTCCGGGGAGCTCCGATTGTGATGAGGAGCGAAAGCTGCTGAAACGCAAACTAACAAGAAGCCTTCGTAACGACCGTGAACAGCGATGGGCGACCAAAGCAAAAGAGATGGAAAAGGCATCGGCGATTGTTAGTACCACACAACTATTTAGATTTTTCGGGGAAACAGTAAGAGGCAAACGATAAGTGAAACAATCTCTGAGAAAAATGGCACCCTAATTAGCTCCCAGGATAGACGACTGGAACGTTGGAAAGAACACTTTGAGGAGCAATTTAATTGGCCTAACGCCACGCTCAACTTACCGAACATCCAAAACCTCCCTGAATGGGATATAGGCACAGGTCCTCCGTCCCAAACTGAGGTTACTAAAGCTGTCACTAATCTGAAACAAGGCAAAGCAGCGGGACCTGATGGAATGACTCCAGAGGTATTTAAGTACGGTGGAGAAAGTTTGTTGTCCGATCAGATGGCCGGAAAGAATCACCAACAAGAAACTATGGGAACAAACAAAACAAGAACCAATCACCCAGCAAATATGCAGGAGAAAGTGGAGATGAACTGGAAACTCGCTGAGCAGGCCGCTGCGTGACATCGTGCGTCAGGCCCTCGAGTGGAACCCGAAAGAGAAGCGGCGAGTGGGACGTCCAAGGGTGACATGGGGGAGATCATATGAAGAGGAGTTGAAACAGTATGGAACAACATGAATGCAGGTGAAAAGTACAGTAGAAGACAGAAACAAGCGGAGACGTGCAGTTGAAGCCCTATGTTCCACTAGGAACCCAAGGGAACAATAATAATAATAATTAACTTAGGTACTAGGCAGCGTCTGGGAATCAGAGGAAGTCCTATCAGGTTGGTGTAAGTCGTTGATCATCCCTGTATACAAGAAGGGTAACAAGTCTTCCTGTGATAATCACAAGGGGATTAGCTTGAGTAATATGGTCGCTAGAGTTCTAGGCTCAATAATCATCCGTAGACTAAGCGGTCCACGGGAGGAACAAACACGAGAGAACCAGGCAGGCTTTAGACCAGGAAGATGGTGTATTGATTAAATCTTCACTCTTCGACAGATTCTGGAACATAGGCATACTTATCGGCATCCAACAATCGATATATTTCTTGACCTGAAAGCGGCATTCAATTGTGTCGACCGACAGGTACTCATTTCACTTTATGCTAAATATTGCGCTGAAGATGTTGTCCAGAAGGGCGACGAAAGCTCTACAACCAAACCAACCAGCTTGGATAACACTATTAATTGAGAGGTACTCTGGCGATGCTTGGCTATCAAGAGAATACCGAGAAAATATATTTCACTGATCAAGACACTCTACTCGAACTCATGTAGTCAGGTAAGAGCTTACGGCGAGTTGTCATCTGAAGTGGGGAAAACTAGTGGTGTCCATCATGGATGTCCACTATCTCCACTTCTATTCAATTTCATCATAGATGTACTACTAGTGGACTTAATCCTAACTGACTTCAGTGACTCAGGGATTGACATGTTATCATTAAGGAACAATCTTGTTGAATTATAATATGCGGATGATATAGTTCTTCAAGGTGTAGACGTTGAAAAAATGCAGGGTCTTCTGAACACCTTGAGCAGTAACGTTCGAATGTTTGGCATGCGATTTGTTCCTGTCGAACGTAAGATGATTCAACATGTCTGGACTCCATTGACTCCTTGCTTAAAGATAGGGAGTGAAGTGGTAGAGCGTATGGACCACTTCACTTATTTAGGAAGTTGTATTAGCCAGTGCTAACGGTTTGATCGCTGACGAAATCTCAGCACGGATACAGAAGGCTCGTTTCGCACATGCTAGTTTACACCGTGTTTGGCGTAGACGAGATATTCGGCTATCGGCCAAAAGACGTGTGTACTACTCAGCAGTTCTCTCCGTCCTCATTTATTGCTGTGGGCGAGACATGGCCATTGAGAGTGAAAGACATGAAACTGGCTAGCTGTTTTTGACCGTAGGTGCTTGCGTCCTGTCTGCCGTGTTACGTGGTATAATACGGTGAGCAATATTGAGGTTAGACTTCGGTCGAGTGCTAGGTAAGAAGGGGAAATCAATCGACGAGGCTATGAAGCTACATCGACTAAGACGGTTAGCACATGTTTTACGCATACCTAGCCATCGTCTTCCTCGACGGCCAATGTTAGCTGCCATAGCATCATGCTGTAAAAGAGCCAGTGATGGTCAAACCAAAACATGGCTTCATCAGTCAATAAAATCCACACCAGTTAGTTTAAGCTAGCCACGTAAGGAGGTGTAGACTTCGTGGTTGGGATTCTCGGGATGGTAAAAATCAGTGGCTGGAGACAATTGGTGATATAGATCAAAATCGTTCTCAGTGGCGCAGACGCATCCATTATTTGTGACTTATAATTTCCAATGGAATTATATTGTTCTTCCATATTACTATTCCTTTTGTTTCATTTTCCTGTCGACTGTCTCTATATTTCATTTCTTCTACTTTCTTCTCTTGGTTTGTGTGCTACATGGAGTGTGGCGACTTGAACTGATGCACATCGATGTAAAGTTCTATGTTGAAACCAGACAGACAGACTTTGCACAAATGTGCACCAGTTCGAGTTGCCACACTCCGTGTAGCACACAAAGCAAGAGAAGAGAGATTCAAAAGAGATAATAAACAGAAGTGTGACGCAAAAAGAATAGTAATATGGAAGAACAATAGAATTTTATTGGATATTATAAGTCAGAAGAAGTGGATGCATCTGCGCTATGCATTGAGAACGATTTTGAACCATATCACCAATTGTCTCCAGTTGTAATTGGTGTTTACCGTCCTGAGGACTACAACCACGAAGTTTACACCTCCCTACGTGGCTAACTTAAACTAACTGTTGTGGATTTCATTGACTCATGAAGCCATGTTTTGGTTTGACCACCACTGGCTCTTTTCGAACCTGATCCCATGTCGGCTAACACTGCCCATCGAGGAAGGCCATGGCTAGGCATACGTAACACATGTCCTAACCATCTCAATCTGTGTGGTGTCACAGTCTCATGAATTAATTTTCCTGCCTCATCTAACGTTGTGTTTCTACGCTGATTATACCTCAAGCTATTATGCAACCTTTCACTCGAGTGAGAACATGGATGCCTGTAATCAAAATTACGATCTGTCCACACTGTGGAATTTGGTTTCTTTCTTTTCCACCCGGATAGAAAATCATTAGATTCTCGTGACCACAGTATGTGGTTTAGAACTGGTTACGGTCTGTTTGTTTTCTTAGTAAGACCTTATCAGTGGTTACTGACCGCTGGAGAACGAGCCAGAAGGTACAATTTTCGGAGGTTACCTTTTCTGTAACTTCCCGCAGGGTGGAGATTTGGCGTGGCGTATTTGCTTATATTTTATCACTTTGTCAGCAGTACGGCTGTAAATCCAGACCCCTATCACAGTTTGAACGACTTTCGTTATGATGTTAACTGATTTAAGTGCAACTTCTATCCGGACAACCTTCCTGACATATGAGGTCTTGAGTTATTTTCATCCCATTCAGTGTAGCTCTTTGAGTCATAGCAATATAGAAGGCCGTTGGTGCTACCCTTTTGTATATTTTGAGTCATCTCCGACTACTAACGTAAAACATTTCAATTCATGACCCCAAAGGAACAAAAATTGGGGTAGGATGGTAAAATTATAGATAAAGGTTAAAATTTTGGATTAATGGTAAAAATGGTATAAAAACAGGTTAAGAATGGCTTAAAAAAGGTTAAAGGAAATTTGTAAATAGGTGGATCAAGCGTATGTGTGACAAATAGTTTACTTTTTTGGATTAATAAGTCCAAGATTCAGAAGTTATGTATTGCAATATTGATATTACTAATATGCCTAACATACTCAATGAAATATGTAATAATTATTAATAAAACTATCTGAAATTGCTTAAGTTTAGCGAACTCATGTTAATCTAAAGGACATTATAGATGATGAATCTCAAACACATGTAGTAAATTCAGTAAACTGTTTGGTTGAGGACCTGCATCACTAGTAATATAAAGTTAGAAGTCACTGAATAAAAAGATGCCTAAATTTCAACTTTTAGGCAGACGATGTCTACAATGAACCAACTACGGTGACTGAGATGTCTACAAAGAGTAAGTCAAAGTAAGACGAGATTAAGCCATGGCACAATTCCATAAAGATTTTTGCCCTTAGTCAATGAACAATAGGGGAGTTCAGATTATCTGACTTAAGTTCTCCTGACAATAGGTATCATTGATTTCAGCCTTTGAGATACACCTGAAAATCATCCACAGAAGCACAGTTGTATTAGTTATTCATCGTTTTCAAAGTTTTTACCCATCTAGTTTGTCGTATCACGTAAGTTCCTTTGCCTGTTCGAATTATTCTGCGTTTTGTTTTGAAATGCGACAACTTGAACTAACTCATCTTTATAGAAAATACGGTGTTGATTTGTTTATTAGCCGACATGATAAGAAAATGCATGCCACGTTACCAATGGGGTATTTGTTCAGAGTATCATGAAACTATAAGACAATGTACACGGAAAAATATTTATATAAACGGTAAACTTACTTCAGGGGACATACTAGATTTTCGAACGTCTGTACTTTTCTTGCCTTTACTTTTTTTCTCCTTCTGTTTTTTGTTATAAGCGTTTTTCGAAAGTCTCGAAGAACTTGGTCTGCGCGACATTCTTCTACCTTCTGTAAGAAGATATCACACATGTATGATACAAAGCTAATCAGTAAGACGAAATGCATGTATAGCACTGAGTATTTACGATTTATATTTATTTTTCCAAAAGTCAGATTTATTAAATATACTGGTGTTTCAGATGAAATTAATAAAATTTCATTCATGGGGGCTGCTGCATTTGGTCATGGCCGTAGCTTCCTGCGAAATGACTCTGATCACTTAGTACTAGTCAACATGAACCATATCACCATTATTATTTATTCTTTACGTTCTGAATGAAACACGGGACCACAGCAACCCATCTCCATTGCACTCGATTCTATTACATCACTTTCGACTGGCTGCAAGTTTGCCCGAAAAATTTCACTTCCTCTTTACATGATCACTTCCATGACACTCTCGGACACTCAACTTGTCCCTTCCCATTCGGCTTCAACTCGAGACCCCGACAGAACGGTCTCGTCAGCGCATGTTCAATCCCTCTTTGTTTCCTCCACTTTATTCTATGTTAGTTTGCTACCTACCTACAGGTATCCATGTGCTTAACCTTACGCCATAGACAGAATAGTATAGCCGCGGGTGAGAGGACGTCGTTCTACACCTCAAAATGCTTTAATATGCCAGCGCTCTCATAACCACATTTTCATCTATCTCTTCAACATATCGTCCACCAGACTTCACACTCTTGTTCTCGAGCAAGGTATACAAAATGATCCAGTCCATCACAATCAGGATAACCATCAGTGATAGTAGGTAAGCTGGTATAATCCCCTATTCACTTTGAATTCTTCTATACACTGTTCGTTGTGAATTATTTCCCATATGGTACCGTCATATAGCTGAGGTTTATAAACGCTGTCAGCACTACACTAAGCAGTGTTGAAGCAATTTCCAAAGTAATTTGTAGTCGACACTGTCAGAGGCCTCCCGAAAGTCGACAGATTCGAAGTAGGCAGTCGACTGATATTCTAGGCTCTCTCAGATAACTACGTGTGGTGTTGCATCTTAGTCCACGCAATACTTGTTCTCCTGGAATCTAGCCTGCTCATCGAGAAGTCTTGTATCCAAGGGGTCTTCCAGCTTCTTCAGTGTGATTCGGCTTTACAGTTTGCTTTATGTAGAAAGAAGCATGATTCCGTGACAGTTCTCGCATAGGTTTTATTCTCCCTTAGTTACCAGTTCAGCAAGGAAGCCTCTCTTTCGAAAACCACGTACCCATCCTATCTTACCTTCACACACACATTCTTCGTTAGTGACATGAGCATGCCAGCCGAGGTCTTCGAGGCAGTTTCTAGTGCTTCCGAATGGTAGATTTCATCTGACCCTGGTGCTTTCCGAGTTGGCTGTCGGTATCTCCTTATCCTTAAAGGGGGGATTGTGTTGACTGGCAGTTCTGTTCTGACGAGTGCCAACTAGCACTAGGTCTAAGGCTTCCTGCCAATTACCTCCAACCATCTAATATCATCATATCAATGTACACCGTGATGGCGAGCTACCTAAATGGCGGCCACATTGCAAAACCTGACTGATAGAATTCAGTCTTCACCAAAGAAAGGACTGGACACGTCGCACTAGTTACTAGTGCCCAATCAAAATACCCACTACAGCCCTAAAGGAGGTCAGTTGAGAGCACGAATGGTTCATTGGTAACATCTCTGACTGCAGCAATGGGTGGTTCGCGTTCGAATCTCAGAAGGGACATGAGTTCCTTCAGGCTTGAAGATACGCCTTGCTGACTGGTGAGTGCCAACTAGCACAAAAGCTAGGTCAGGCCAGACTTCTCCCCGATTACCTCCAACCATCTAATATTCACTAATTTTTCTTTTGCAAAAATGATAAAGTGAACAGATTCTAATCAAATAATGGAATTTTATCCGTGTGAATTTTCTAGACTTATACCTTCTGTATAACATTCTTGTCGAATTCTGAATAATTATGAGTGGATGAACCAATTTTGAACCTTAACATAGAGGAGAAGTGACTTAAGTTTTTTGATTAACAAATGCTTTGAGGTCAGTAAATGTAAGCGTAAAATACTAGTGTGTAGTAATTAAGGTTGTACAAAGTTATATTTAAATATGAAGTGATGCAAGAGAATAAAGAATATTCATTTTGTAAGAAAAGAAACTTGAGATGTCATTCAAAGGCCTGTACTCTGGGACTTGCAATGACTGTTTTCCAGTCTCGTATCCCACCATACCTAAACCACACTGGGCAGTCAGGTAATGTCATCACCCCTCAAACAGTAGGTGTAGTTTATAGCTTGGTTTCTGATAAGCTTTATTTTAACCATAACTGCTTGTTTTTCATGTTTTTATAGATACCCTGTAGGTGAGCTAGTAAGCAGGGAGTGAGTGGAAGTTAGTCTCCACTTCGAAATGCTCTCACATTGGCATGTGTTCATGGCCTCTATCAGATAAGTCGTATTATCTGCCTTCATGTGGTGTGCGGTGATAAAAAAACTGAATGTTTGTCACTGATCACATGACTGGTGGACACGGAGGTTCTCCTAAAGCAGCTGGAAAACTCTGACTGTGTACATGATGTCCAGAATAAAGGTCTAAATGGTGTACGAAGCTGTTTAAGACTTCAGTAACTTTCGAAATACATCTAATGCTACTCAGCTGTCTTATGGGTCAGACTTTAACTCAAGAAAAGTACAAACCATGAAAAATAATCAATAGAAAGACCTACTCACGTTTAAACCGTCATAAGTTATTTCGTCAGCTATCTGATATTTTATCACTAATTTCTATTTTTATGAACAATTTATTTTATTTCTTTTTTTATCATCTTTACGTTTTTTAGTATCTTTTCTTTCTTCAGTCGTTTGCTATATTTTAGAATATCAAACTATTTATACCATTTAGTTATTAGTTAGCTACCTTCAGAAAGTTTGCCTCCAATGTTATATGTAACACACCCATTCTGAAACCCTCTCTCACACTCAAGTTTGCGACCTACACCGTTCATACACTGATGCCAAGTAGACCTGGCTACAACTCTGGGAAGACACAATATTGATGTATACTGCATGACAGAGACTCGCACACAAGAACACAGTGTAGTGCTTTGAATATTTTCTCTGTCTGAAAGACTGAAAGACATTTTCCGTGTTCAATCATTCAGTGACCCTGTGACATCAGTGTCCGAGATACCTTGAGTAGGTGTAACACTAAGTCCAAGAAATGAAACCGCATTATTTTGCTGGATCACCAGTAACAGTGTGTATACTGTGAAGGTAGAAAGTTTTACTACAGTAAGAAGCAACTGACTGGACAGACGTTGCATTTTCGTCATCTCTGCCCATGTACCGATGAAGGTAAGGATGAGTCCTACCGTCCGATAAGTGATCACGAACATGCGCTTTAGACATCGTAGTGCGAGCTGAGATGAGAGTCATTTAGGTGGTCAGAGGGAACTAGATGGTTGTAGGTCAGATAATAGGGGACCATCTTCTGCAGCCACTATCCCCACTTCTATTCAATTTCATCATAGATGTACTACTAGTGGACTTAATCCTAACTGACTTCAGCGACTCAGGGATTGACATGTTATCATTAGGGAATAATCTCGTTGAATTATAATATGCGGATGATATAGTCCTCCTAGGTGTAGACGTTGATAAAATGCAGAGTCTTCTGAACACCTTGAGCAGTAACGTTCGAATGTTTGGCATGCGATTTGTTCCTGTCGAACGTAAGATGATTCAACATGTCTGGACTCCATTGACTCCTTGCTTAAAGATAGGGAGTGAAGTAATAGAGCGCGTTGACCACTCCACTTACTCGGGAATTTTCTCAGCCCCAATGGGCTGATAGCTGACGAAATATCAGTACAGAGAAAAAAGACTCGTGTGGTATATGCCAACCTGCATCGTCTATGGCGTAGACGTGAAAGCCGATCAAAGGACGTACATACTGCTTAGTAGTCCGCCACATCCTCCTTAATGGCTGTGAGACGTGGCCGTTGAAAGTGGAAAACATGGACAGGCCAGCTGTCTTTGATCATAAGTGTCTCCATTCTATTTTCCATGTTAGGCGGTATAACAGAATGAGTAGTATTGAGGTTAGGCATCGAGTGTTAAATAAGAAGAGGAAATCAATCGACGAGGCTGTGAAGCTACATCGACTGAGATGGTTAGGACATGTGTCACATATGCCCAGTCATCGCCTTCCTCGACTGGAAATGTTAGGTAACATAGGACCAGACTGAAAATAATCTAGTGATGGTCATATCAAAACCTGAAATCAGTTCATGAAATCTTAAACAGTTAGTCTGAGCAAAGGTATGGAGGTTTAGACTGCCTGGTTGGGGTCCTCGCGACATAAGACCAATGGCTGGAGAGAACTGCTGATCTGGCTAGAAATTGTTCTCAGTTGCGAATATGCATTCACTACTTGTGTCCTGCCAAATCCAATGAAACCCTATTATTTTTCCATATCGCCATTCTTTCTCCCTCACATTTCTGCTTGACTTGGACATATGGTGTCATGTTGTTTTTATTGTTTGCTGGCCTTTGAAGTGGTTGGGAAAAGCAGAGGGTTGGTCAGTTGATTACGTGGCATTGTGGGACGAAGAATGGTTTTAATAGGTTAGGGTCTGTTGTTAGGTCACGATTTTCTGAGTGGGATCGGAGATATAGTCTGAAAGTGTCTCTAGACGTTATCAGAGATGGCTATAAACTGTAGTCAGTGGCGAAGATGCTGTAATATCCTCGTTTTCTCTCTTTCTGGAAGTAACATGTAGTGATGAACACCCCATGGGTGTTTCTAATACATATGCTTTCCTTTTTCCATGATCTTGTTCCTCAATCTTCTTCTTTTTCATGTATTGTGCTTTATTGTTTTTATCCAGCGCAACTCTTGGTGCCCATATTGCACCAACTTTGTCTTTCAATTAATAATAAATCAGTAACTAATATACTTCCTGAAGGAAACTTTCAGTGATCTGCTTGACTGACAGATTGACTTTCAACACAGAACTGAACGCAGAAATGCAGCAGTTCAAGTTACCACACACTATGTTGCTCATAAAGTCAGACAAAAGAGGAGAGAAAGCGATTCATAAGTACTAAAATAAGCAGAAACGTGAGTGACAAAGAATAACATCACAAAGAGTTAATGCTTATGCGTCCGTGAGAATGACTTTGAGCCAAATCACTAATTATCTCCACTCAGTGCTTCTTAACATCCCGAGAACGCTGACCAGGCAGCCTACACTTTCATACGTGGCTTACCCAAACTTATAGTCGAAGAATTCAGGGACTGATGCCGAGTTTTAGTTTGACCTCCTGTAACTATTTCTCCACCCAATCCTCTGCTGGCTAGGATTGTCCGTCGAGGAAGGCAATGGCTAGGATTGAGTAACACATGACCTCGTTACCGAACACTTGACGCCTAACGTAAATATTACTCAACAAATCACAACATGTAACCTGGAAGATTTGAGGCGAACACGCATGATAAAAGTCGGCTAGCTATTTCATATCTTCTACTTTTAGCAGCAATGTATCATAGCTATAAAGGAGGACGGAGTGGATTACATTAGGTCGAAGCGTAAGTGGAGATCATGAAAAGATATCGATGGATATCTCAGTCGTTTCTTCTTTTTATTGATGAAGAGCATACATACTATTATCCAATGGGAGCATGGATTTTTCTGCCCTATCCTTACACCTGAGAATCGTCGTGAACTACACGAAGAATGTCCTGACACTCCTAAGGTGAGTCCTAAAGATTCACTCTGTTGGCTGGGTGGGGTTAAGTGATAGCCACACTCGGGTCATGTATGCGTGCCTCCAAAACACAACATACATCTATGGCTGCAGGTGGTCAATGATGTCTGTTGTTCAATTTGGCAAAGGACCTCGACGTTAAATACTCTGATATGAAGTTAACAGGGTTGTTTTAAGAGACTGTCGGCAGTGTTTTCCCGCTCTCTTCTTTGATAGTGGCCTCAGAGTTAAGAGCATTGTACTTCCTCAGAGTAGAGAAGCAGTGTCATTTTCTTGCTGGTAGTCCAAGGGAAACACCTTAATTATGTTGCATCTATATTCGCCAGAAGTACGAATTCCCTCTCAGATCCCCAAAATAGCGTAAAATACTTGCAGTATAATGACGACAGCTTTTAGTTTAACCACTATCATTTCTGGCATGTTAGGACCTGCAGTAATATTAGTTTGTGGCAGCGTAATTTGTTTAATAATTGCGATATGAAACCCCGACCCTTATGTAAAGGTAGCAGGTATCGGTCGGGACTGATCTGATTACTCTGCACGAAATAAATATGGTCACAGATGTGACATAAATTTCACATAAACTTATTTATACTTTAAAAAACACTTAGTTTTTACAATAGATAAGGATAATTCATTTATTCCTTTATAGTGACCACATAAAGAGTAATTAGTGTTTGGGTTTTGAGATGAATAAAGTATGCGAAGTACAATGTCTCTTTCTCTCTCTCTTTATCTGTGTGTGAACACATGTAATAAAAAAGGGGGAAAACATACACTCACGTCGTACAAGTAGATCAGTCACATTGACTTTTGTTTTGTCTTCAATGAGCTTCTCTTGTGGCTCGTCTTTCTTCAACAATATAATCAGCGTACAATGAATAAGTGCTTCAAAAAAGTCAAAAAATGTGAGCTAAAATACAAAGAATGAAGAAAGTGTACAGTAACTTGAATGCGTGATTTATGCACTAAGAAATTAGATGAAATCAGTTTTGTTGTTAGCTAAAATCAGCTGAATAACTACTATGGCTTACACATAAGTGAATAATATGGTTCACTCTGTTGAGTATAACTGTTTGTTCATCAGGATTTGTTACTCAGAATTATGAATTCGGCTTTCAGCTAACTATTTCTATGCATTTGTTAACTTAAAAGCCTGTAAATAAAGTGACGCTCTTTTGCGGACATATTCATCTTGCATCTTGAACAGATACGAATGAAGCAAGGAATAGAGAGAAGTACGTGTTACTGCAGGTATGCTGACAACACGTTTGTGGTTTACAATAATTGGGATCGTACTTCCACGATGTTTGAAAACCTAAATGCGCCTCACCCTAACATAGCATTTACAGTGGAACATGAGCGTGACAATCAGTTCCACTTTTTAGATCTCAACATAAAAAAGAGAAATGATGGGACGACTGAAAAGTCCATCTATAGGGAAGAAACTTGGACTGGCCAGTACTTGAATTATCACAGCTTTTGCTTGATTGGCTACAAACGGAACCTGGTGAAAACGCTCTTTAGCATAACTAGGATGTTGTGTTTAGAAGATAAAGTCGAGGAAGACTTTGTAGTCATCAAAAAGTCTCTAAATCTACTAAATTATTTTATCATTTTTATAATCTTACTTCACCCTCAACCTCCTGAACTCTCTACCGTAATATGCATGTATTCACTCTGTTGTTCTGTCTTGTATTTTGTATCTAGTTCATCCCTGTTTCCAAGATAAATCTGAACTCCATCCCTTGTCTCATTACTAAATGTACAGTTACTCTCTTAATATTAAATAACTGTTTACTTACCACATCATTGTAATTATGGCACCTATACTTTCTGTCTATAACTTGAAGTCATTGTAAACAGTATGTTCAGAGATTTTGTAACTTATAACTGATTTATTTAGGATGTATGCAGTTGAACAGAATCCACGAGATAAAAGGACCACGCGTTATCCGGCAAATATCTTCGTTCTCCTTTTATTCAAATTAATAAGGGGAACCGGCTGTATGGAAGACTCTATTTCATGTTTGTTAGAGAGTTCAAGTCAAAACAGATGTTGACTACATGCATACCAATCAGGTGTATATGCGAACGATCTGCATATTCTTACGTAACTATGTACTGGTCGGGATTAGCGAGATGAAAATTCAATTGTAGCTATGTGAAGTTATAAATTTCCTTCATATGTTCAGAAGTTGCTGAGATCTACCTTATCTGTTATTCTTACGTTCAGGTTGAAAAATGATTTAGGACTTTAGCCAACCTGTCTAACGAATATATATTCAGCATTGGTGGCGTTGGTAGCATAGCGGTTAGGACGCTCACCGACCATGCATATGGTCCGGGGTTCGATCCCCGGCCGACGCACTCCTTTACCATACTAAGGCAGAAATAAAGCTTGTGAAGAGGAAAGGTTGGGCGTGAGGCTAGCAACCCCATCCTGTAAAAATAAACGCTGCTACAGAAACTTCAGTCCTCTAGCTTGAAGCTCTATGTTCAACTGGGAACGTGAAGGAATAAAAAATAAAAGAATCCTCTGCTCAGTCACTTCTATGCACATAATATATTAAATTTCTTCTCAAAAAACTTCTCGCTGACATTCAGAGTTATCCATACTAGCATACCAGGCAGAGTAACGGTCGGGGTAGTACCTAATGAAAAAACACACCAATTTATGTAAATATCAACGCTGAAACTACTCGTTTATTTATAATTACGAATTAGCGGAGATGCCATTTTTGGATATGGCTACTCATAACTCTAGTAAACATTGATTATTGAGGGAGGGAGTCTGTAGAGTCACATAACGTATGTCAGAGCCATGTCAACCAGTGGAATATCACAACCTCAACGCGTGACCCACCCTTCATATCTGACATTGCTTTAACCTCATTATTATTAATCACACTGTGGCGCCTAACGTGAAGAACTGGACACAGATATGTGTGGCTGAAAATTGCCGATGTACTCCTATGTTCGACTTTAAACAGCCATGTCTTATTGATGTAAAGTAGGACGGAGAGGAACTACACATGGTACGCACATCCTTTGGTTGGTAGCTGGGTACCTCTCCTGCGCCAAAGATAATGGAAGATGGCAAATACCAAACTAACCCCGTTGTATCCATGCTGTTTATGTATATCTCCTGATTAAGTAATTTAGTTAATACATGCAGTCGTTTTACCCACTTTCCCCATACTAGGAGTCTATTCAGACCAGTCCTGTGATGTCACCTAGTTTTTGGTTGGTTCAAACCATTTACCAAGAAATATGCAGGTGAATTTTGTCACTGCTCCATCTGACAGACTATTTTATGTAAACTGACAACAGCTTTCTGTAGTAACAAGTCAACACTTGGGATGTAGAATCCAGTTAGAGCCACATCTTCAATCAAATTAAATATGGAGAATAATAATTTGCATGTCTAAAGAACACCACTGTCGCGCTTCAGACAACAACTTTTCATGAGCTCTTACAAATCTGCATGACTTCAAGCAGAGTGCTATCCTGTGCAGCTACGTACGATCATAACACCTTTAGATCAGCAGAGTCAACTGCTGCCTTTAGCTGAAGAAATATGTTGGTTTGTAGGTGCTGGCGAGGATGCCTTTTTTTCCAGAAACTGACATAGAATGACCAGTTCACCATGCCTGAAGTCAACCAAGTCTGCTCGGATTTTTTCCTTGAGTTCCACCCAACCTCCACATGTCTAGCCTTTTACATTAGCCACGTGGGTTAAAAAACTACCCACTTTGGCTTACTTCCAGAAGTACCCCACTTTACCCACTTTTTGAACGGAATGTTGCCCACATTTTCAGTAACTTTATCCGTGTTCATAGATAGATTTTCCTACTGGACGGGATCACGGATATTATAATGGTTAGGTTCATCCCTCGATAACTACCATACAATTTTTTCATTTTATTGGCATCTAGGGTGATCAAATATCCACTCCACCCTGGTGGAACTATTCCAGATTTTCGTATACTACTCAACACTTTGGTTATTCCAGTCAGTTATACATTACCAAATCCTTCTTTAATATATTTGCAACTAGCTCCTTAGTTTCTGCTTCTCTGCTTCCTTTTAGATTTAAGAAAACTTTCTTGACGATGACTGGGGTTGGAGGACCAATAGAATGGCATAGTAGACAGTTACAGTGTAATTGTAGGTTAGATGTACTCTTCCAATTTTTTCACTCGTCACTCCTTCAAAGCCAATCAAACACTTTTCTTCTGGGAGGCCATTTCAATTACTGTCGAATTGTTTAAAACCTCACTTGACAAACCTAAGTATTCAACAAGTATTACTTAGTTATGTCTTTCCTATTTCTTTTGCTTTCACAACTCACTATAGCTTGCTGCCTTTGTGGAGACTTTTATTAATTATGCCATCAATCAGCTTCCGCTCTTGGTGTTCGGATGTCGCTAGAATCAGTCTTTAGCATAGGCAGGTTGAAATAAATCTAAGGAAATGTGGTTTTTACAAGATGTTTGAATATAGATGGTCGGTTTTCTTCAATACTCTTTCTACAGCAAAACTGTACATGGTATAGTGCTTCTTCAGAATGGGTTGTGTTATCATACTCAGATATATGTTTGTTCATTTATTTTGATGCAGAGTTAACGTGTGGGTGTGCATATGTATGCAAAAGTTATTGGCGGTAGTTTATGTAAGTGTTCCAGAAACAGCGTTAATGTTGCTCACACCAAGTATGTTGAAAAACTAGAGCTAGGTGACCTACATCTGTTCCTTGTCTGTCTAATATCAAATACCACAATATAAGATAGTGCCTTTCCTCATTCTTAAAAATAATCATGAATAGGTATAGCTGGTCATCTAAATAAAATTGTCAGGTGCAATGGTCGCTATTAGTCTGTCAGCATAAAACTCTATAGATACACCTAACAGAGTTTTCCGTTTGGTCTACCTTCCCTTCTAAAGCATTAATTTGGCAGTATCTCAATAGTCTGTTTGTGAGGCAAAATGAAAAGTTTATGATGTAACTGATTCTTTGCTTCATCCAAACTCCCATAAATTGACATACAAGCAAACATTCTGAAGAGCAGTCATGTATTAATATCTTCCCTCATTCTAACGGACCTACACAGCCAGAGAACACAGACCATTGTCCACTGGAAATCGGTATGGTAGTAATTTTTATACTTTACAGTCTAATATTATTCATACAGCTGTAACTCCATAAAAACTAGTTAAATAATCTCATTACATCTGTAAACTTAATTTAGCTTAATCATTATGATGACCGAGTGGTACTTAGTGAACAATCTCATATGGCTCTTCTATTCGTGTCTTAAATACAAAACATCTACCAAAACACTTAAGTGCTATAGTTTTTGCGAGTAAGATATACTATCCAATTTAGCCTCTAGTTCAGATATTTAGAGCTTCAACACGAAAGTAGGAGAATAGATTGAGTAATGACATTTCTCTGATTCGAACTACTAACAATAGTCACACAGTTATGAATTGGTGAAGAGGTATGAAGGAACAAATGTTGGCAGTAACAGCAAATAAAGTAAGGTATATACTTAGATGTTTCGCTCTTCAGATTTCAGTTTACAAACCCTGACTTTTCAACACCTTCTGCAGATCATTTTACGTAGAAAACCACAGTCACCTAACACTAACCAAAGTACCAAGTAATAGTGAATATTTTGCTGTGAAAAAAGAGAACTGCTTGCAGAATTCGACACCTCTGATGATTTGAGGATCGGAGACAGTGTGCTAGGATATCCTCAGAGAAACATGCGTCTCGTCAGATCAGCACACCGAAATTCAGGAAGACTTCATCTCAATCTCAAGCATTTGGAGACGCAGCCTACTGGACACAAAATTGAGAAGAAAAGCGGATGCGAATTCGGACCACTGTCTAATGCAAGGAACCTTCAAGATGAGATTAAAAGCCTTTAAGAAACCTGGACATATACCACAATTCAAGTTCAACACTCGAAAAATGAAGGACAAAACTAAAACGACCCATTTATGACAGTCATCAGGATACACTGAGCGACGTCGGGGGGGAAGGTTGGTTGAAAAACACTGGAACTCTCTCAGAGCGATGAAGAAGGAGGCCAGCATATAGACCTTGGGCAAGAGGGAGTGTCAGGGCAAGGAATGACTGGCCACGGGCACCTGTAATTTGATAGAGAAGGGAAGGATGATGAGGCGAAAAATGAGCCAGCTGATAGATTAGCATCGAAAGGAAAGGTTGAATTCAACCTACAGTGCACTGGGCAAAGGGGGGGGGTGAACAAGAGTGGTATGAAGGACAAAAGACATTTCTTCGACACACTGAGGAGTGAAACAGAACAGGTTGCTGGTAAAATGGACCTCAGAACACTACATAAATCACCAGGTAGCTATTCAGGAAGAAATCAACGCAGACATCGCCAGTGGAAGATAGTGGAAGAGACAATTTACCAAGGAGGTGAGAGGAAAAACTGGACTATTCCCTTTAAACGGAAACTAAATCAACCCCCACCGGCAGACACATAACTGCAAGTCAACACAATCCCCCCTTTAAGGATAAGGAGATACCGACAGCCAACTCGGAAAGCACCAGGGTCAGATGAAATCTACCATTCAGAAGCACTAGAAAGTGCCTCGAAGACCTCGGCTGGCATGCTCATTTCACTAACGAAGAATGTGTGTGTGAAGGAAAGATAGGATGGGTACGTGGTTTTCGAAAGAGAGGCTTCCTTGCTGAACTGGTAACTAAGGGAGAATAAAACCTACGCGAGAACTGTCACGGAATCATGCTTCTTTCTACATAAAGCAAACTGTAAAGCCGAATCACATTGGAGAAGCTGGAAGACCCCTTGGATACAAGACTTCTCGATGAGCAGGCTAGATTCCAGGAGAACAAGTATTGCGTGGACTAAGATGCAACACCACACGTAGTTATCTGAGAGAGCCTAGAATATCAGTCGACTGCCTACTTCGAATCTGTCGACTTTCGGGAGGCCTCTGACAGTGTCGACTACAAATTACTTTGGAAATTGCTTCAACACTGCTTAGTGTAGTGCTGACAGCGTTTATAAACCTCAGCTATATGACGGTACCATATGGGAAATAATTCACAACGAACAGTGTATAGAAGAATTCAAAGTGAATAGGGGATTATCCCAGCTTACCTACTATCACTGATGGTTATCCTGATTGTGATGGACTGGATCATTTTATAGACGTTGGTTACCGGAGGCTACTGTGAAGATGAGGAAACGCTGATTCCACGTAAACTTTCTAGAATCTAAATTTCGAGGCTGGTCTATGTTTCCAGTCGCACACACCGTAAGATAATCGAGCAATAGTCAGAAAGGTGAAGGATGAAGCAGTGAACAAATGACATTAGTTGAAAATCGAGACGACGGACGAACAACAAGCAGCATCGATCATCTAAAGGAAGTTGTGTGTTTCAATTCTCTGATCTGGGGCTTATCCCTCGTTCCAAATCAGGAGGTTAAGTGTCTCAGAGTGTCATAGAGGAGATCATGTAAGGAGAAAGTGAAAGCTTTGGGAAGTCGTACATTGTGGATGAAAGTGATTTAGAAGAACCGAGAGCAATGCAGATGTGCTGCTGTTGCCCTCTGTTCTGTTCGAGACACATGCAATTAGAATCAATAAGAACCGTATGAAAATCACTGGGAGTTGTCCCATGGCTCGTTACCTATCGAATTTTAAATATTTAGCTGTCAGCTAAGCTAACATAAAAATTCACCCATTCTGCAATTTTACAGTAGAAAATAGATGCTTGAACCAGTTATACATATTTTGAAACTGCTGAATGGTTAAAACTAAAATATACTCTAGAAGTGACCATCATTTTAGTAAGGTTTAATGTCTAATGTGTATTTAAACCCTGAAAGAAATTTCCATGGTCTGAGTAATTCAATTTTTGCTGAATTTTGCTGAATTATTTCATTTTGTAATCAAGTTATCGTGGTCTCTTTAAGGACAAATTCTCTTGCTGACAGTCCGTATGGTTTTAGTAGGTGGTATAGGTTTAGAATATGCCTAACTCTAATGTATTAGTATAATCGACTCATAAGTAATCTTAGCAGTGACAGTCAACAACTGAATTTTAAGGTTACACTTTTATTTTATTCAAGTTGTATCTGAAGCAGCTTACTGTGGTTACTTTTAGCACAACCAGTGTCATAAGCTATATATTTAAAACACAGCACGCTTATGAGTAAACTCTAATCCCTAAAAACTGAAGTAATAACAGAAGTATTTTATTTCAACAAATGCATCATTATTTTAATTTCCATGTATGCTACTGTATTACTTAATGTATTTCATCAGATATTCTTTGCTGCACATTTATTTTTAAAGACGTTTCAACTATGACATCTGTAGACTTAAAAATCTAATTAAAACTGAGTTGTCACTTTGCACTCCTAAATCATTTTCAGTTTATAAGCAGAAATGAAATAGGTGAATATTTCAGCCATAATTTGTAAGAATTTGAGTTGCGTATGTAATTTTTATGAAGTTAGTGTTCAATTCTACAATCGTTTTGACTATTATCCTAGTTTATTGTTTAAAATATTACTGCTGATTTTTAAAATAATAATAATAATAACTTGAGTTTCGTAAATAATTATCTACTATAGAATTCTCAGTTCAGTGAACATTATAGACGGTGAATAGCGCCTATATTGGCAAATAACTAAAAAAGCTTATTTATGTTACATCTCCAGTGGATGGTAGCTGTGCACTTCATTTAATCTCCCATAAATTCATTTAAAGACTGAATTTCACTTACCTCTGTATCAGTATTGTATTCATCTATTGTACCGGCTACTGGATTACACTTGCATAATATTTCAACAACATCTCTCACGGTAATTTTACTATCCAACATGTTAAAATCCTACAACAACAGAAAATCATTTTCAGGTATTAATAAAATAATTTGTTTCAAGATAAATAATATGACAATGAAATAGTTTTCGACAGATATAGATAACTTAATTTGAAAATAGCATTCACAATACCAACTGATTTAAATCCAGTATCCTTATAAAATTTTTTTAGACACAGAGACCAAAAGAGGTTGGGAATATACGTGACGGCTCTTCTTTCACTTCTTTTTATGTACGACTTAGTGATTTACTGAAATATTAGTATTAATTATAAGACAATTACATAATTCAAATGTTGGTTTGCAGACATTTGGTTGCTTTCAGGATTTCATTGTGGACTGACATCGATTACACAACCATTAGAAAACCTGAGAGTACTGGATATCTGTTTCATGCTATTCTGGGGCTGTTCAGTAGTACGAACCCACTGGGGTTCGAACATATGACCTCCTGGTTACAACGCGAGCTCGTAGACCATTAAGCCACTGGGACCCGATCGAATGGCCAGTCCATGAATTCTAGATTCGGCCGATTCAAGATATAGCGCGACCCCTAGCCAGTGTCTTCGGCGGTTATTTGTTGTCACACCCGACCTGCTGGGACCATCGGATCGGATCTCAGTGGCTTAATGGTCTACGAGCTCGCCTTAGAACTAGGTCCTGTGTTCGAAATTCAATGGGTGCGTACTACTGAAAAGCCATGGACTAGGACGAAACGGATGTCCATTACTCTCAGGTTTTCTAATGGTTGTATAATCGATGTCAGTTCAAAATGATATCCTGAAATTACATTATTATTAACCTTTTAAACCTTATAGTAGGCTGTAAGTATCAAAAATTTTGAAACAGGATTCATACATAAATTTGTGAAATTTATCTGACTATGTTATCAGACCTGATAGTTAATAAGCTATAATGACCAGCCTGTATGTAATGTCTCTTTAATGTCCCCTTCGTATAAATAGACGCATAAATGGAATGAAGGCGAAATTTCACTTCTTGGTACTAATAGTTTTTCTACCGAAGGAGAAAGCTCTTGAGTGGTTTCGCCATAGGATGATACTGTATGCTGATCTCGCCTCGCAATAGGCAAGGATAATTATGTTTGGTTCTCCTGAAAACCAGTGTATAAATGCTCAATCAATGGATGTATCATTAAGTGAATTCGGGTATCGATTGTTCAGAGGAAGAGTGCTTGCCAACCATGCATGTGGTGTGGGTTTTGATTCCCGACCGGCGCACACACTTGCAATAAAATAAATGATAATAACTATTAATATGAATTCTACCGTCTAATTTTGGTGAAAACTGAATCAGTTGTCTTCTATCATCCCGCACACAGAGTCTTGAAAGAGAATCATATACTTCATGATTTTATGCTTTGATGCAAAAGTGGTTTAATTATAACGTTGTACTGTTAAAATAAATTAGCTGATTTCCTTCTGAGATCTAAAAGCTGTAATTCCCCAAATTTGTGTTACACGGTTGGAGATAATTGGCAAGAAGTTAAGAACCTAAGTTTCGTTCCTATTGGCACTCATCATCACAGCGCATCTGCAATGCTTATGAAGACGGTACCTCCCCTGAGGTTCATATCTGCACCTTCCTGCATAGTACTAACGGGCACAAAACCTGGGTCCACGTTTTCTGCTAACTGATTCTAACCACCCAAAATTAGTCCGAAAAGTGCAATGCGGTGGGGTATCTCCTTGATTGGTGACCATATTTCAAATTGACTGATGAAATTTTAGTTATCACTACCAAGAAATCAACGAAGTTATAATCCTAGCACTTTTATCGCCGTAAATTAATTAAATGAATTATTATGTTTCTTAACTATAAGATACATTCCCTTTCATCAGCCATTAGACAGCCTGGGTGATAGTTAAATTTTTGCATGAAATGTTTTTTGAGTATGGTTTCTTAAATGCTGAAAATGTTATCGTTTGTCAGTGAAATTGACCTTTTATATCTCACCTACCATGTAACGACGATTCATGCTTTGAAAACTGGTGAAGGTTGGACTAGTGATGATTAAAATTAACGCTGTAAGAAGTGAGATTATTAGATCAGTTTCGGTTTCAAAATGTTTTTGTGTGGTAAATAAGTTCACTAAATGCACTATACTGGATGAATACTTCTTTTATCATCGTGAATTCTGCCAGAATGGGATAAAATGAATTTTGGTAGTTTTAATTTAATTATCTACAACTTAGTTCTTAATGTAGTTTTCTGTAAACTAGTAATGTTACTAACATATTCATGTGGTCTAATGGCAGCCTAAAAGATTATTACAATAATAAGAGTAGTACTTAAATATTTCTGTAAATTTCATTATGAGATATGGAAGTGAGCAGATTTCATTTTAAGAAATATGTTGCTGTGAATAATATAGATTTACTATAAAAAATCACGATAAATGGTGTAATAGTAATACGCTTTTACTTCAATAGCTTTTCATTATTACCTTGAGGATAAAGATAAAAGTTCGCATTGTCATAGTGTATGGTGGTCGCGATACTGTCGTCTGGAACTAAAAATAATAACAAGTTCTCAGTTCACTTTTAAGACAGTTTACACAAACTATAGTAAACAAATATGTAATAAATTATGTAGTTCGATAAAATATTCGTTCCCATTTGTCGCTTGTGTTCAAGGTTTACATTTTCAGCGAGAATATTTCACTTATTCGTTTTATTACTGAAAACTAAAAAAGATTTACGACACGTTAGCTGAACTAATTCGAAAATGCATTATGGTTTTAAAACTGGATTTCATACTAATATATGTGTACAACTCGGACACTACAGTAGTATGTAATTTCATATTATGAGCGGTAAATTGTGTTCGAAACATCTTCCAATAAATAATATTGTTTAACCGTGTGATGTATGCAATAAAAATTAACATGGAATTACATACCACCATAGTTCCCAAGTTTTATATTATTATTTTTTTTACGAGTTGATCACGGATTGATATCAATTAGGGAACCTTACAAACCAAACTACAGAAAATTAATCTGATGCTCGCTAGTGACTTGCTACAGGATGCAGTTTCCTGGAGTTCTAGTGAGAAGTCGTGACCAGTGAGCTCCATCCAGATTTCACGTGTGAGGATGGATGTCCCACCAACGTCATTGGTTGGGATCGCGTTAAATCACGAATTGGTAGAAGTTAGAATTCATACACTGGCCATTGAATCGGGTCCCAGTGGCTGAATGGTATACGAGCTCACTAGCCTTGTAACCGGAAGGCCCTGGGTTCGAACTCCAGTGGGTGCGTACTGACGATGATTCCCAAACTAGGATGAAACAACTAGCTGTCCAGTTCTCCCTGGTTCTCAATGGTTCTCTAACTGATATCAATCCGTAGTCAACTCGTAAAAACATAACTAACCAAACTATAGAAAATTATTATTATTCTCTTGGTTTCTGAGAGAAAAATAAGACTTTATCAACACATCTGTATTTCACCATGTTCTCTGCAGCCTTTATAGCTGGCTACACAATTGCGCTGTTTATACAATCCCCTTGTCATTCTCTCACGCCGAACTTGTTCTTTGCTTTTCCAGTTCGAACTGAGGACCTGGTGAGCAGTGTTAATCAACAGCCTCCTCATCGTGTGTCCGATCAACTTCCGCTTTTTCTGAATATTTGTTGGTTGGTTCGTTACCAGAGTTCCTTACTGCTGATCCTTTCAGGCCGTACATCTGATCTTCAGTATGGAATCAGTGAGGGTATCCGTTAATAAAAGTTTACATCTTGCTGGAAAAGATTTTTCATGTCGGGCTAAGTTTCTGGCCTATGTAGGAGCACTGAGTTAACATTAGTATTTCTCAAGTTTCACGCACATTAGTTTTCCGCAGTTTTTAAGACTTCTTTGGAATAATGAATAGCAAATGTATTCAGAATTTGAATCTCTTTTATATTTCAAAATTGTCAAGATAGGATTGTATTTGAGTATGTGCCAAATGTTACCACTAAAGAAACCTAACTGCTTACCATCAACCCATAATTCGATAGCAATTACACTTGAAAATAAAACATTATCTGTGATCAAACCAGATGTGTCTGTCTTCCGATTACATACACAAAATTCAACAGGATGAATAATGTAGCATAGTTGTTGATCTAATGTGAAGTAGCTGTGCTTTTCTGCCTTAAGGTTATATCTCTATATTACTTAAATATATAATTACTCTGCATTAAGTCTATGTATCTCATCCAATTGGAGACATACTAAACTTGAAGAAAACTGCTTAATTCGTAACTTAACTGTTAACCATAAGGTTAGTCAGTAGACTCCAAGATTGATGATTTAGTCCCATCTGTAATTTATATGTTTTAGTCAAACATATAAACTGCTAAAAGGAATTTAGATCTTCAACAACTATTTGGAAGATATCACTTACTCTCCTTTTCATATGTACCAAAAATCTATAAGCTTGATGAAGTGGTTGTAAAAATAAATGGATTTCTTTTGATTTTTCAGAATCTTGATATAAAATACCAGAAACTTTGCAGGCATTTGGAAAGATTGCTTGAGTTAATAAATAAAGCAGTGCATCGCTCGGTTTGCTAAAATATAAGTGAATATAGAAATTATTCATGAAGTATTTACCTACAAGAAAAGAAGATTGGCTATGAAATCGCAACACAAGCCAATTATAAGTTTCCTTACTAAATAAAAGATTTCATCTGTCTTATATAATTTATTCTTGTGTACGCCTAAAAGTAGTAAAGACTTTCGACAGTGTTTATGCAGAGCACTGTAAAGCACACTGGTGGCAGAAAGATGGCAGTTTAGTGTGCTCTATATATACATATATATCTTTTATACGATTACACTGTGACAAGGGAAGGGTATAACAGATAGTGCTAACTTTAAAGCAATCAATTAACCTTACGGATTTCGACAAAACAATTAGAAGAAGTGATTTATCTGAAACGCATAATGCATTTGTACAACGTATTCTGACCACACATATACTTGTCATTCATAATCATATAAAAGGGTACATAAACGACCCAAATTTTATCAGCATATGTCAAAATGTCCACTGGTCACGATCACAAATATGAGGTAGGAAAATGAGGAGAAAAAACCAGGTGAAAATATTATTAAGTAAAATGAATCTTGGTTCTAAAATGATTTACTTTTTCATTCGGAAATAAACTTTTACAAATGATCAGTTAAATGAAAGTACTGAACTTGAAAACGTAAAGTTAAATGTTCCAGATAATTAGATAAATCATTCTTCTGCTAAATCTGTTCAGGGTGAACTAATGTATATGATTCTGTAGCATCACTATAAACTTATGGATTATTTTAGCATGGGATAGTTCTACATTAATTTCTAATTGACGCATACATAATCGAAAACTCCGATGTTTACTTTCCGTACTGTTGTGGTGAGAGCTGGATGCTAGTCAAAGTTGGTAGACAGTAATTGACGTCAATGTTTATGTCCCTAATATTGGTGGTGAGAAAATGAGAACAAAGGCTTTGCGTAGGCGGGTACAGTTAGCATATGGATGATCTGACACAACCACAAGAGATGCAAGGTTAACTTTCTGTGAGAAACAACCAATCAAAAGACTGTATTTTCTACTAACAATAATGTACATTAAAATCTATAAATATGTGTTGATTCTCCTTAATAAACGATCTGTTGCCTGGCTTTTGTCTTCTGTTAATACACTGTGACTAGTAATACGGTAAAGATTTCTAGAATTATGCGTCAGGCAATCGGGAGATCTTCAAAAACATCCTAGTTTATTTCTTGGTGAGACAGTGAAACAGGTAGTAAGTGGAACAAAGCTCTGTCTTAATGAAAACATTGAGTTAATTAGGGGAATTATTTGCGACGTTAAACAACAAAACAGTTGTGTGCATTTCATGAAATCACATGATTCACAATAAGAATACCCACTATTTGAAATAAAGTGAATTCTGGTCACTAACCACATATTCAGGCTCGTCTAACATATTATCACGCTGAAAATCTAGGAGACTTTGACTAGCATCTACTGGGTATATAGACTTCTTTTCAGAAAGACACGCAGAACGGTAAGCGGTGATAATTTGGCTTCTGGTTACTCATCATTTCGCTTACTATCCCGAATGGGTAATTAACATTTAACTACAAGACTTGCGGAGGTTAAGAAATCTATGTGGAACTTTAAAAAGTGAATAGAAGTTTAGTCCTTTACACTATAACCAAAGGTGTTTCACAGTGATGAGTCAGGATTTTAGCTGAGGCTTGGGAGATAAACTCGATTACGATTCACTGACCCCATCTCGCTTAAAGACGGGAAGAAGGTCCCTTGATAGCCGCTGTGGATATGGGCTGACCGAGATAGCTTCCAAAAACTCAGGAATAATAGTTCTGCGACCTCCTATTTAATATAGGTGACAACAAACCCGGAAGATACCAGCAGTTCCCGAATGTTTTCATGGGTTTATTGACTGTAGATTCATTATTCATCAGATTTTGCAATACATGTCAATCTATTCCCAATACTGGCTGTATTTTATGGTATGAAGAAGTGACCGAAAGATTTCGTTGCGGAGAATTTTAGTGGAAATTAAGTAAGCCTATCTTCTGAAACACTTGAGATATTGTCAGAGTTTGTTGTGAACGATTGCATGACACTTCCACACCTAGTCGTGTGTATCATAGGTGTGTTTATTTCTGTTTGTAGCCTTACCGTAAATATTCTTTCCGTTTTCAGATCTAATTTTACAAAGACCATCTGCATTGTGAGATAAACTCCCACTTCATGAATGGTTTGCATCATATCAATTTGCATGTCAGAAAAGTACGGCTAAGTAGAAAGAACGTAAAGAATGATTATAAAGTCATTTATTGTTGCTCTACGCCTTGTAAACACTTTATATCTGTATGTTTAGGGCCATCGTGATCATCAAAAGCTACAGTTAGTAAATTTAGTGAAGCTGAATCATAATTCTCATTATTACTGAGCATAGTATTATTTGCTTCACTTTTTCTTTTGTTTTATAGCATCCCATAAACTTAAATTGCATTAATTCCACTCTAGTTTATCCATTCTTCTTACTTTCCGTTTGATTTAAAGTAATAAGGGGAAGTTCATTTAGTTAAGCTATCTACTACTTAACCAAGTATTATACAAGTTAATTTTAACGACTTAAATAGTCCTCTCTTAACAGTACAAGAAAACTTCAGAAATGGGTTTTTTGAAAGCTAATTTTTTTAAGTAGATGATTACAAGAAATTGCTACCTAAGTCACTGATGATTTAGATTCCTAATTAGATTTAGAATAGGTACTATCGGCTTGAGGTTGTACTACTGACGCAGTGTTTCAGAATAACTAATTATCATGTAATATGTGCGATGTAACACATTAAATAAAGATACAATTAAAAATTCCTTTGAGTTAAACAAGTGATTGGTATGTTTGACTGATAACTGAACGTTTATTTTCCAATGCACTTAGCCTATTCTGAGTGCTAATTAGTGTTTGAAAATGCTGAGCTGTTCAAGTCTGCAATGAACTGACTGGTGGCTGAAAAGTAACCAATGTCAAGTTATTTTATCCTAAGTCCTGACCCACTCTTGATGTCGTAGCTGTTTAAAATGGAATATAAAATGATTTGTTCAATGTCTTTGTATGATGTAAACAATAACGTTTACCTTTTGTGGCCTTTTTCACTAATGTATAATTCTTCTTGTGTGTACAAGCTGCAAGCTAAGATAACGAGGATATTTACAAAAGAACCAAATGAAATCAACTTTTCAGGATTCTGTACGCATGTTTCATCGATGTCTTCATTTCCGAACGATATAGCTTTTAAATAAGAAATGACAATAAATGAGGCTTCGTAGTAGGAGGTTTACTGGAGTATGAAACAATAAATGATATTTTTCAAGCAAAATGAACTGGGAAACCAAGAGAAGAGTTGCTGATGAAAGTAATTAAAGCATTAGGTGACGAGATATGCAGACTTACCTAACCATGAACACTATGCATTCACAAGGCTAACGGTTTCAAACAGTGGGTTTCATTATTGTACTAGTGTATCCCTCTCAATAGGGGATAATGCACCGCCTATACGTTTGATGCTGTTTGTTAATAGCAACAGTAGAAATAACAGTAGCCTTATTTTTGGTATTTTGATACTTTTGATACAGTGTGAAATCTTCAGCATGTATCACAATATTGCACCTAAAGTTTCTCTTCATATTACACAGTAAGGGGGAAATAATTAAAAGGGCATTAACACTGACAACAGTGTTAATAAGAATATGAGTGTGAAATTAGAATCAAAGTGGAAATAGTAATAACAATATATTAATGGAAGGAACAATAAAAAGGGCCATTTACTCAGTGTCAGGGAGTAAGTTGGTTTCGTGCCTTACACTTTTCTGATGACATAAAATTTGTGTATGTGTCATTTTATTATAGGTCATTCTATTTATTTGACTGTAATTCTAATTTGCATACTGTTGACAAAGAGCAGGCAATGCAGCCCAAAAAAGTCGATAACAGGAAATTACATAAACAGAAAAATTGCCCATGTTTTCCTTTTTGTTTTTAATAACTCGTTACCCACAAACTATTAGTGTTATCAGTTTCTCTCCTCAACTAAGAGCTACTACAGCTGATGCATTTTTAAGAAACTGATCAGTATGTTTCACTGGTACGTCAGTAATTAAAATATAAATCTCCCGAATCACAGTTACAGCAGAAACAATCAGTTCTGTAGTAATGTGACAGTGATTTAATACTTAATATTTCTTGATTTGGCTGTGTTCTCTGGGATGGTTGATCTAATTGCGAAGCTTTTGTCGTCCTTCTAGGTAACATCTTCAGAGCAAGCTTTAATATGAAGTGAACTTATCTGAATTCTCAATGATTCGGCGATCTATTTTTCGTAAACAGACATGGAGTGGACAATATCTTCATTTCACCAGATTTGTTCCGATTCAGTATAAACGTCGTCTAGTGAAATGTTTGTTCTGAAGGGCCCGAAAAATATGCACGTGTGATACATTGATGGATGAGCTTCCACACATACATTCAGTTTTATTAGCTAATGGTTATCCAGAAAACTTATCAATTGTCACATTAAGGATAGACCATATCTAAGAAAGACAGCTTCTGTACCAAAGAAATCTATCTTTATTAACCTACCATTCAACGGTGACCAGATTATGCAGTTGAAAGCTGAAAGACTTCTGTCAGCCACCAAACGCACATTCTACGCCGCATCTCTTTCTCTCACATGCCGAACATTTTCGATCCCTGTACCTAAGATTAATGGACGAAATTCTGTGGACTCTACTTCAAACTGTATCTACAAGTTCACCTGCAGTTGCGGTGACACCTGTATAGTTTGAACCAATAGAATGTTCCAATGTCATCGAAAAGAACATGTTCCGAAATACTTAATAAAACACAGATAATCCCAGTGCAATTAATCTGAATAGAAATCCAGCATCATTCATTGCAAAGCACTTATTAATGTCAGGTCACAAAATCAATAATGATGACTGTTTCACAATTATTTCACATAACTCTAATTCAAGGTTACTGAAGGTGATGGAAGCACTTTTGGATTAATCACATACAGCCTAAATTATGTGTACATAAAAAAACAGACTTCAACCTTCGCGTACCATGAACTACTTGACATATTTAAATATGATTGGTCATTAGTATGTACTGTTGTTTTATATAACTGAGTAATTGTCATACCCTTTATTTTATTTGATTATTGTTAATCATGTTTGTTGTAAAGCGGTTGTGAAGAAACTACGAAATGATGTCATCTCGCAAAATTTGTCTTCTAAATGCCTTATTCAAATTTATCAAAGGGACTAACTGTCTTAATATAATTATATTTCCTGACAACCATTGTTGTGATTGGTTGACTTGGAATTTGAACTTTCTTATCCTTTGATTTATTTTTTATTAGTTGATAAATTTGTTCTGTCGTAATTTGTCTGTTAAGTGCTGATTCATCTAAGTACCGGGCTTTTAGAAATTCTCTGGAATTTTCAGTGTTTCCTCTGTTTAAAATTTTTATACTTTTCCAATCCAATTGAGGTACATAATTGTCTACATGCATCGATATGGAAGAAAACATCAACGCTTAACAGACACATTACTACAGATCACATTTACTAAGTATTAAAGAAGAAATCACATATCAAAAAAGTCCAAATTCCAAGGCGACAAAAATGATCATTAAAGATGCAAACTTATAACAAACCATGACAGAGGCTATCAGGAGACATAATTATATCATTCATGAGGAATTCAAATACGTTCACTTCATATTAAAGCTTGCTCTGAAGATATTATCTAGAAGGACAACAAAAGCTTCGCAATTAGATCAACCAGCTCAGAGATCAAAATCATCCACCCGAGCTACCAATCATCTCTATTATTACTAAATATTTCTGTTTTTGAATTGAAAAATAGCGCTCAAATGAACAGCTCTGTACATCTTATAATTGCAGAATTTCAAATGTTTTACGTTGCTTTTTTCCAAAGAATACTTAAAAATAAACAAACTCTAGCTTCAGAAATAGTTGATTACACGCTGATTGTTATTGAGATTGGCAGCACAAACTAGATGAGAAAGAGAAAGGTTATAGATTAGTCATCATTATAAGAATTGATACCACAACATTCTTCATGAGTGTGAACTCTGTTAAACACTTTGCAAGTATTAAGCAGTGTACTACTGGAATCCAACTTTCAGAAGTCAGACAGGTATCTCTTTGGTTTGAATGCTATATACACATGAAAGTCAGTAACCTCTGATTGTTGTTAAGGATCAGAATACAATGTCAGATGATAAGTGACTGCTCACAAAGAAACTTAAAATTGTGGAGGCGGAAGCGATTTTAATGACTCAGAATTCATCTTTCATGAAAGGTGTATAGGTACAGGTTCAAAAGAACTCAGCATAAGCTGGAAAACTACATTCTATGTTCTTCAACATACACTTAAATGTAGTTGGATCTAATCAGATTGCTGGAAGATTAATTTGTTTTACTATCCTTTTTCACGTTTTCACTCAGTATGACAGCTCCGTAGAACTAAAGATAATTCCTGGACATTAATTGTGATGATGACCTGGTTAGCAGTTAGGTCTCGTAGCTCAGCTGATGCAGCATCCTACCACTGGTTTGTACCTTTCTGCAAAGCAACTTTCCATTTACACGTCAGTCGTCATCTATTACATCGAAAAAAGAACTGCCTGTAAAAAGTATTCCAAGTGGAACTTACCAATTATTCTGTCTAAAGCAGCTAAACTTGTGTGTAGATGAAGTTTACAATCCTTTAGGAACTGACAGAATTGAACGTAACGGAGTATAATTGTATTATCTGGTAACTGTGTCATACCAAGTTTCCCATAAAATCTATATATACTACGCAATGGAGCCAAATAGGTTGTTATTACATTTTGCATCTAAAAGGATTACGTGAAAGCAAAAAAAATGGGCAAATATTCGTATGACTGAGCTTTTAAGGTGTGAATTATAGTAGTCAATGAGTACATGCCCATTGGACATCACAGTATCAAGTAGAAAAATCCTTTTTGAATTCTCCTTGTTAAGAAATTGTTATCAATCAAAGTGATAACACTTAAAAAGTGTACAGAAATATAAAAAACGTTATGCAGTAAGATGAAAAGACAACTGCACGAAAAACTCCAATGTTGAGTCATTTACAATGATTAGATCATTTTTCACATTCATTATGTAACTTCAACTTTCCTCTTCTAATCCCCACTTATTCATCGCCTTCTAGATTACGCCTCACATTGCGTAATACATTTCCTAGAACGTAGTTACCAATATCTGAGTGATCTTATGAATTATTTGTTAATTATTAGTACTATTATGTAGCTCTTGAAAATGACTCATTGAAAAGAAAATCTTCTTCGCTGTTACATCTTTTGTTTATAAAAAAAACATAACTAATATGAATGTAAATGAAACGGAGCCACTGTAACCGAGTTTTAACATTCGCTACTTTATTTTTCTGGCATCTCAATATTAACAGATGTGACCATTGGTCAGAGGATTCACAATTAGCTGTTATGTCTTAGTATTTCAAAGTAAGCACATAATTAAGGACACTGGTAGATGGTGACACAACATATGTAATATCTCAATAAAACTACATTTTGCCCCGTTAATCTGTACTTTTTATGATCTATGTCGCCTAATTACGTACACTACATAAAACTGAGGTACATGTAACTTTCACCTCCCTCTATACTTATGCATCTGTTCTACACATATGCAGCACTATCTACTTAATAGTTGTAAAACGTTCTGATTCCCTAGAAGACAATGATTTACTTTACCAGCAACGTAATTAACAATCATGTATAAACGATTTATCAGTATTCTGTCCTTTGAATAAGTTTTGCCATCTATTATTCTAACAATGTTTATGACGATCATCTGGTCGATATGGAACCATGCTATAAAGTTCACAAGTGTGGTATTTATCATTAGGTACCTGGTAATTACTTTTCACTATTTCTCCCAGTAGCATAATCAGTAGAGAATAATACAGTCATGCAGTGTAAATACACTGATTCTAAACCAGTTAGATCATTATCATTGCTCTGTCTTCAAAAGCTGCATATTCTTTTGAAGAAATCTTAGGATTACATCTGTTTGACTGGTGAATAAATCATCTTATCAGTTCCCCATGTGAAAAAGCAGCTGCAGAAAGCCGGGAAATTTTAGGTAACATTGGTTATTTTGCTGTGAAGGTCACCGAACCATACAGCTGAAATACCTATAATTCTACATGGTGAAAGAGTTCTGGGTAAATAATAGGGATAAGCCTAAAACCAAAGTAGAGCAATTATTATGAGCAGTGAGGTTCGCAGCAACTCCATGGCCGACATTGGCTAGTGATAAAATTCACCGGAATATCGTTTGTCAGCTCTTGACTTGATTTGGGGCTGAAAGCAGATACTACCGTCTTTACCTTTCATCTCCAAAATAAAATAAATCTGAAAAGTGTAAGTGTAGAACAAAGTGAAGTTGGAAGAATAATTACATTTTGCAATTCATAGCAGTTATAATCCGAGGGGGATATGTGAGGCTTCAGGTAACTTTCTAACAAATTACTGTCAGAGGTATCCTTGAAAACACCACTTTTCTCTGTAGAATCAGAAATGCAGTCTGAAATATAAAAAAAGGAATGGAAATTCGATAAGCATGCTATCACTACTTGATGATTGCAATCAATGTCATCACAAGTAATAACAATGAAAATTATCAGCTAATAATATCAAGCAGTGCAATTTCTAAGAAAATATTCCGTCTTACCTTCTACATCAAGAAGTTAAAACATTCTGGTATTACCCAACCCCTACTCCTACAATTCGTTAATTCTCGCATCCTGCCTATTATTCTCTATTGTTCCCCCTTAGTTTTTCCTGGGCTACTGAAGAAAGACTATAACATTTTACGCAGGATGTTAAATGTTGTTAGCAGGGTAAGCAACGTGCCACTTAACCAGCTTGCTAATACTCTGGTTGACAGGCACATGGACTCATGTGAAAAATGGGCCAAATCCATTTTATCTAACTAACACCACCCTCTTCACTCACAACTCTCCCCTTGCATCTCATCAGGTAAAACCAGAAGCCAATATAGAAAACTATATGCTCGCACCAGCCAGTACAAAAACTCGACCATACCCTACTTAGCTCGTGTTCTGTGTGATAAAGAAAGCATTAGGCGTGACACCTATAATTCATTAAATAGTCAGTAGTACAACTGGATCTCGTCTTTCCAACTCACATCATCAATAGGTACAACATTTTCTTTCTTTCTTTTCCTTTTCTCTCTCTTCTTTTTCCGTTATGTGCTGCTTTGTCTCTTTCTCTCGCTTACGCCAGTTAATAAGACAGCTCCCACTTTTCCAACACCTTCAAACACTGTTTCAGCTTTACCTTTGCTACTGACATGCCAATGTATTGTTGTAATAATGAACTGTTGGTTTCCTCAATCTATGTAGAATTCTATTTATTGATAATGTACTAACTAGATGCAATACTGTAGTAAAAATGCTGAGAATTCCATTCTGTATCACAAGTACTGTTTTGGAATAAAGCAAATTATTATTATTATTATTAAGCACTCTACAAATGAACCACTCAAGCATTGGGATTGAAATAGTAGAATACTCGCTAGCCATGGAGGAGGCACACGTTCGACTCCCGGGCTTAAGCCTATATCAATTAACTAGCTGATAGAAAGCCCAGAAAAGAGAGAAGATCGGTGATTAAATTAGCAACCTCACACCTTAATAATACCACCGTTGATGAAACTTTAATGCCTGTAGGCCTACATTTCACTCAGAACTCAAAGGAATAAAAAAAACAAGTCTGCAGATATATTAATGTCAAAAGATGAAGTTTGTACGAAAACGGCCGAAAAATCTATGAGCGCCTTATTTCTTTATATTAGCTTTTGATTGAAGAAAGTTTCGGAAAGCCAGAGTTAAATGACAAAAAAAAAACAAATTTGTCCTAATTGTATCGTCATAGACTAACTGTACATTTTTTGGTTAACTTTTGAAGCACACTTGTCGATTTTTGGGTGTGCTAACTAGCAAGATTTTTAAAGCGATGAGATTAGCTTTGTTTCAGGAAACGTTGTTACCAGTGATGTAATTAACTGTCTGTTTATTGATTGCACAATATCATCCCCTTTAGAATCAAGGTGAATACAGATCAGCTTTTACTGACCCTAATGTTATCAGATTGATTACACTTTTTACTGTCATATTGGTTGATGAAGTTTTATGTGTAATTATTTTCTTTACTATTATCAGTTTATGAGTTGAACATACTTCTTGAGCACTAAACATTTTTGAATCAAGTGAGATGTCCTAAACCTCTTGTTCACCCAAGCACATATTATAATATGAATCTTTTGAATTTTTCGGCTTCATATTGAAGTTGATTTGGAGTTATTTCAGAATATTAAAAACCCCTACAGTCACAATTAATATAAGGTAACAGTATTGCTATTAATTAGGAATAACTCTTATATACAGATTCTTAAATGTATATTAAATAATGGTAATCTTTAATAAACATTAGATACTGAAAATAACTTAAGTGGTAGAAGAAGAAGAAGTAGTAGTGTAACAACAGAAGACAAGGGCCAGGCAACAGATCATTTATTAAGGAAATCAACGCATATTTATATATTTCCATGTACATTACTATGGATATTTAAGCAAACAAACACAGCCTCCCGATTGGTTGTTTCTCACGTAAAGTTAATCTTTCATCTATTTGTGACTGTTTCTTGAATGTCAAATCCTCTATATGTTAACTGCATCCGCCTACGCAAATTCTGCTGTGGTCGGTTTTGAATCAATCTTTGTTCACATTTTCTCACGACAAATCTTGGGAACGTAAATATTGACGTAAATTACTGTCTACCGATTTGGCTAGTAGACAGCTCTCACCACAGTAGTAGTAGTAGTAGTAGTAGTAGTAGTAGTAGTAGTAGTAGTAGTAGTAGTAGTAGTAGTAGTAGTAGTAGTAGTAGTAGTAGTAGTAGTAGTAGTAGTAGTAGTAGTAGTAGTAGTAGTAGTAGTAGTAGTAGTAGTAGTAGTAGTAGTAGTAGTAGTAGTAGTAGTAGTAGTAGTAGTAGTAGTAGTAGTAGTAGTAGTAGTAGTAGTAGTAGTAGTAGTAGTAGTAGTAGTAGTAGTAGTAGTAGTAGTAGTAGTAGTAGTAGTAGTAGTAGTAGTAGTAGTAGTAGTAGTAGTAGTAGTAGTAGTAGTAGTAGTAGTAGTAGTAGTAGTAGTAGTAGTAGTAGTAGTAGTAGTAGTAGTAGTAGTAGTAGTAGTAGTAGTAGTAGTAGTAGTAGTAGTAGTAGTAGTAGTAGTAGTAGTAGTAGTAGTAGTAGTAGTAGTAGTAGTAGTAGTAGTAGTAGTAGTAGTAGTAGTAGTAGTAGTAGTAGTAGTAGTAGTAGTAGTAGTAGTAGTAGTAGTAGTAGTAGTAGTAGTAGTAGTAGTAGTAGTAGTAGTAGTAGTAGTAGTAGTAGTAGTAGTAGTAGTAGTAGTAGTAGTAGTAGTAGTAGTAGTAGTAGTAGTAGTAGTAGTAGTAGTAGTAGTAGTAGTAGTAGTAGTAGTAGTAGTAGTAGTAGTAGTAGTAGTAGTAGTAGTAGTAGTAGTAGTAGTAGTAGTAGTAGTAGTAGTAGTAGTAGTAGTAGTAGTAGTAGTAGTAGTAGTAGTAGTAGTAGTAGTAGTAGTAGTAGTAGTAGTAGTAGTAGTAGTAGTAGTAGTAGTAGTAGTAGTAGTAGTAGTAGTAGTAGTAGTAGTAGTAGTAGTAGTAGTAGTAGTAGTAGTAGTAGTAGTAGTAGTAGTAGTAGTAGTAGTAGTAGTAGTAGTAGTAGTAGTAGTAGTAGTAGTAGTAGTAGTAGTAGTAGTAGTAGTAGTAGTAGTAGTAGTAGTAGTAGTAGTAGTAGTAGTAGTAGTAGTAGTAGTAGTAGTAGTAGTAGTAGTAGTAGTAGTAGTAGTAGTAGTAGTAGTAGTAGTAGTAGTAGTAGTAGTAGTAGTAGTAGTAGTAGTAGTAGTAGTAGTAGTAGTAGTAGTAGTAGTAGTAGTAGTAGTAGTAGTAGTAGTAGTAGTAGTAGTAGTAGTAGTAGTAGTAGTAGTAGTAGTAGTAGTAGTAGTAGTAGTAGTAGTAGTAGTAGTAGTAGTAGTAGTAGTAGTAGTAGTAGTAGTAGTAGTAGTAGTAGTAGTAGTAGTAGTAGTAGTAGTAGTAGTAGTAGTAGTAGTAGTAGTAGTAGTAGTAGTAGTAGTAGTAGTAGTAGTAGTAGTAGTAGTAGTAGTAGTAGTAGTAGTAGTAGTAGTAGTAGTAGTAGTAGTAGTAGTAGTAGTAGTAGTAGTAGTAGTAGTAGTAATACTATTACTATACGGACTTCGTGGATGATTTATGCCTAACGCCATACATATTTGAAGATCTGCAGGCGAAAACCAACCAGTTGAAAGAAGGGACTAGCAGTGAAGATAGGACTTCAAGTGGGCATACAGAAGACAGAGGTGATGAATATATCTCACCATCGACAACAAGCATCAATTGTCGTCAACGAGGGAAATTCAAAGGCAGTTACTTCTTCAGCTTATCTAGGCAGCATTATTTCAACTACAGGAGAAGGAATGAAGGAAAATGTCAAGGTCTGCCAGGGTTGGAGAGGCAAGACAGACCTTCATTAATATGACGTTAGTGTGGAAATCTACTACGGTCAGCGTAAGGAACAAGATTCATAATTTCAACACTATTGTCAAGTTATTTCTTCTATGCTGTGACACGTAAGGCATTTCAAACAGATTGTCATCAACATACCATCGCATTAGAAGCTGAGTAATACAAAAAATTCCGTCAGTGGGTTACCAAATATTGATAAATAGAATAAACACATGAAAGCAGTGATTGTTTTACAAACCTTATTTCAGCCGAAAGAAAGAGAGAGTCAGGGAATATGCAGAATTTTCATGGCTTCCGCTGTGTGCTTAAGACGAATTCAAAAGTTTTGACAGAAATGGATAGATAAACTTGAAGGCGATTCTACACGAGTCAACAGCACTCAGTATGAAAAACAAGATCCGGATTTTCAACTCCAATGTGAAGTCAGTGCTACTACACGGATCAGAGACTTGGCGCGTCATAAAGAGCACTTCGAACAAACTACAGACCTCCATCAACAGCTGTCTTCGCTCAATACTCAAGATCACATGGCCAGCCAGAAAAGATCAGCAATAGTGAGGGATCTCTGAGAGCGGACCAACCCAGCAGGAATCGATTGTGCAACAAATATGCAGGGATGAATGGAGGTGGATTGGCTGGCTATACTCTGAGGAAACTATCAAGTGAAATCACATGCCAGGCCATTGCTCGAGTGGAAGCCGAATGGGAAGCGGCGAGTTGGTCGTGAGTGCGAGGGTGACATGGAGGGGGCCATGTGAAGAGGAGATGAAAGCATTTGGGTGGACGTGGAGCCAGGCGAAAACATTGGCAGAGAGCCGAACGCAATGGCGACGTGAGGCTGAAGTACTATGTTCCTCTAGGAACTAAAGGAAACAATAATAATAATAATATATATTTGAATTTAGTTATCTAACGGGAATTCTTAGTTTTTGTACTTTTAATGAGTCATCTTTGTCTAGTTGACACATTATCTTTAACTTAGTAAGTAAGCATAATAAAGTCTCCAAAGTGATGGAGATTTTTAGCTCATATGCATGATATTGGTGTGATTGTATTCTCTGGAATGAATGATTTAACTGCGAAGCTTTCATTGCCTTTATAGACCAGATTTATAGAATTCTGTGCTTGAGATGTTGTCTATAAAGACAATGAAAGTTTCACAAAATAAACCAACTGGGGCCAGGTAACACAAATGCATTATTACTCATTGCAATTCATTATTCAACAAATTTATAGGTCTTAGCACATTTCTACACTCTCATGACACCAAAAATAATCACTTACAGTTCTAAAAAATTTTAAGTAAATTCACTTCTTTTTAAATGCATTAAACAATATTTTGTAAGTCTGTAAACAATTATACCTGCAAAGTAAGACAAGTTACATTTGCAGCTTGTTTTATTCCGTATATTTTTGTCAACTGCATACCATCCAAGCAATATCAATATGTAAGCTGAAAAAGTTTGAACCTACTTTTATCACAATGATGTTAAGTTACTGATAGAAAGTAAAAGCGAGATAATGCCGAAACAATGTAAGTAGACAGATTATTCGGTGTTAAAAAGGTTAACTACTTATGGTATAATTAGATGAGAAGGAGAGGCAGAGCGGAAACAAGGACTGACTATAAAAAATATAAAGTCTAACAGCAGAATGAATTTATACATAACATAATGGGGAGTTCGAAAGGGTAGGAGTGAAAAGAGAACTTATGACAAACGAAAAACCAGGTAAATTTGGAGACTTCTTGGTGAGTTATACTGAATAACTGGAAATCAAAATTAGGTGAAATGTTATGCAACAGAACCAAACACAAAAGACACGAACAAAACAGTAGAGAGAGGTTAGTCAAGCTATCTTTCTTTACACCGGGGTGGGGTTGAAATCTTTTGATAGAAATGGCTTTTGCGAAACGAAGTAGTCAAGTTTTCTCTGTCTTTAAATACCTTGAAAGCTTGACTAGTTTCAACTGTATGTCTGGCAGCTACACTTGAGAGTATTTAGCTACCTTTCATACGAAGATTTTTAAAGATGTGTTCAGAAAATAAAGTCGACGCTCTCCTCTCAGTCCTTCTTATGTACCTCCTACATTAAGTGAACTGGTAATTGCCGTTGGAGTTGACATGGAAGGGCTTTAGTATCAAGTAAAAAACCGTTCAATAGCCAGGTCTCTATACACACTGACTTTGACTGATTTAAGGAATGATACTGTGACGTCTGAAATAATCATCAGGTACTACTAACTGACTGGATGCAGTATTGCATTTATTTCAAAATCTACACTCATATGAAGAAAACAGGATATTATCTGACTACATTCATACAGGCTGGTAAAATCAAGTGTTCTTTATATTGAGAAATATTGAAATACCTTAAAACTGAGAAATGAGTTTCTGATTGTACTTCGTTAGACAATCATTTAAAACTAAAGATAGCGGTACTTCAAAAAAGTTTTATGAATGAATTAGGTAAGTAGTTTATTGTGTGATGTTATAGTAATTGTGGTAGCTGAACAATATAGAAAAATTCAAATGTAACTTATGGAGTTGTATGTATTCGAGGCTGTTAAAATCCTGCAATATTAACCAAAAACAGTTTCAAAGTTTTCTCAGTCACTCCTACAATTCTCAGCTTCAAATGATTACTTTACTGTTTTTTGATCGGTAACTGGTTTTGAAGTATTCTGACATTCATCACTTTTAAATTTAAGATTTAATGAGTAGTTTGCCAGTAGCTTTGTGATAGAATGGATTCACTGTTTCCGGCATATTAAATAGTCTAAATTCTTGAAGCAAACCAAGTACATAAATTGCTAGAAGAATTATCTGATGATCTAAACCCACCTGTGGCAAGAGGTACACGTGTGTCTTGTCTTTCCAGACTTGGTTGGTCAACACTTGGTGGTATCGAATCAGCATCCGGGTTGACCAGTTGATCTTCATAAAATGTTCTCTCGAATATTCTTCCATCTTTTAGTATAAGTGTTCCCTTTTCAGTAGTAAGAATAACAACAATTGTGCATAGCAGGAATTATCACATCAGTCAGTAAAATGTGTTTTCAAATGTGTTAAAAACTTTTTACTGAATGCTATGACTAAAGTTATTCGTTTATTCAAACACCTATATTGTTACGTGAATGATACACCGTCGCATTTTGAAGCTTTGCAGGGATGAACAAAAACACAAAGGCGGAAAGGATACTAGATCATATTATTGATATGATTATGAGCAACAAATCATACTCAAAACCCTATCCAGTCATTGATACTGTATCACTGTGGGCTATAGCAAATAAACCTTTTTAATATGGAATTGCATTCTACCTCAGTACATAAATTCTACTCTTATGTTAACAAGAACTCTACAGATAAATACAAATATTATATCCACGGGGAATGAAACTGATTTTAAGATGAATCTGGTCGTAAACCAGCCAATGAAAACCAGGAATAACTGAAGAGTCATTTTGTTTTATTTGAAGACACTGAAAAAGTGTGAACTCATGGTTCTGCAAGTGGTGGAAACTGTAATCTTCATGTTAGTGCACTAAAGATTAAAAAAAGGGCAGAAGTATTAAGAAATTTGTATTTTGTTTCGTCGGTAAACCTGAATAATATAATCAACAAATTGTTTGTAGAATAAGGTGTATTCTTTTTCAAGTTGGCAATAAAAAAAGTTGGCACATCTAAGAAGTAAGGCCAGCTCATCATTTTGAAGTTTAAATTTATACACAGAGAATGATAAAAAGCAATGATGGTTGAAGCAATTTGATCTTCATGATTACGATTGGGGAGTTTTATTCATCTGTTAAAGGATGAGATCCAGTAGGCATAAATACATATTATTTTTTAAATTAACTGATCAAAACGGTAGCTACGTGATTGAGGTGATGACAACAACAATATCGGCACTGAAATCAGTAAAACGATATAACGGGCAACAGTAGGTTGTGCAAAGAAGACGCTATCTGATCCTCTGGATATTAATGTGCTCAAAAAAACTAACAATGCACAACAAGTTAATCAAAATTCCAATCTACTAAAACCGCATTCTACTGATAAGTCAACTTTAGTAAGAAGTTTGTGAATGAAACCCGAAAAATTCGGGAATTTTGAATATAAAAAATGAAGTACTTCATATCAGTAGATACTGAAAAGTCACAAACCGTCAGATAAGTTTGACAATGAATGATTATAAAAGTGAATCAACTCATGTAGTCATAAATGACAGAAATGAAATTAAAGATATTATAAATAAGATGGATTTGAAACAAGTTGAAATAAACGAAAGTAGCCTGAACTTAATACTTTCCAGTTCATTCATGTAATCAGAATCATTTGAATGTGGTGTTTCTGAACGTTCATAATACAGACACACAGGTCTAACTTTTCTTAAATTTAACGAGACTAAGACGAAATATACATATTTATACCATTTACTGAAGTCACCATTAATTTTATAACTTACTTTTCCATGTTTGAGATTATCTTTCCAATAACCAACATATTTGGATCCATTTGGGTAGTGGAATGTACCAAGTCCGTTACGCTTGCCGTCAGCCCACTGACCATCATAAACATTGGGTAAACAATATTGTGAGGTTCTAACTCGTAAAATATGCCAAGCATGACAACCTAAACCATGCTGTAAATGAAGAAAACGTAAGCACTATATGTAGCTATTTTTAAATCAAGGACACTGGCGTTACGAAACATAGAGACTTTTAAGGGGGAAATATCATTTCCGATTCGTCTACATTGTCATGAATTTAACATTCAATCAGTTGACCCTAGGTTCAAAACCTGCTCTAATTATCGAGGTTTCCAAAATAGGTTAGTATCTTTAAGTTTCATTAGAGTAACTATAATGACTGGTCGAAAATAGGAGACGCTTACACTTCTTTTGTGAAATAATCCAGGTCATGATTCTTTAATTAGGAGATATTTTCCACTATAATGTGTATTGTATGATTTTAATAAACAAAATAACATTCAGAGATTCCCTAAGTAGCCATGTTCACGATCATTTAAGGCAAATATCGTCAGATATTCACCTGTCGTCTTCTGTTAAACTATGTTAAATATAACTTTCCTTTTTGTTCACTTAACACTGAAATTCTTTCAGATAGCACAATTTATCAAAGTGTATGCATCAGTATGTCGAGGAGTCCTAAAACTGAGTTCAAAAATTTAGTGTACCTTATTTTAAACTTTTCTTGGAACTATTAATGATTGAATAGAAATCATAAAGAACATGAAAGTAACTGCTTAGTCCACAGAAGACGGTAACACTTATAATAAATAGTGCATTTCCAGAGGCCAACAAAACTCTTTGCTATTATTTTATTGATTTAATCAGCTTGCAATATTACTTAATCTATATTAGATGGTTGGACGCAATCAGAAGGAAGTCTTGGACCTAGGTTTCATGCTAGTTGGCACTCGTCAGCGAGGCGTACCTGCAACCTTAAAGGAACTCATGCTCCTTCTGAGATTCGAACCCGCATCGCCTAATGCTGAAGTCAGAGACGTTATCACTGAGCTATTCGGGCTCGCAATCACAAGTCACCTAGAATGCTAGCTACATTGCAAACTTGACTGACAGAATTCGTTCATTACCGAAAAAAGGATTAGACGCATTACACTAGTCACTGACTGGTGTCTAGTCAAGATAACTTAGTCTAGTTAATGTTGGATGGACTCACCAAATATAAGTTGCTGCAAATAAAAAGATGTAATTCTCCAGTAACTCAAGCAGAATTTCAGATGGGCTTACAATAGCAGTGCTTATGGTCATTCTGGAGAATCATAAGTCTCTATCTTGACGTGACCAAAATAAACAACAGAACAGATTTTTAATCATGGCATATAGGGATATAGCAAAAAATGTACCTGTTTACCGTTAACCCAACTACCAGTATAAATCTCATCGCGATCGCTCCAGTGCATTGTTCCCTCTCCGTGACGCTTACCATCTTTCCACTGTCCTTCATAGGTTGCACCGTTAGAATAGTGATAAACACCGTAACCATGACGTAGACCACAGTACCAATCACCATCATAATAAACAGAACCGTCACTTGTAAAATTTAATCGACCCTAGAATGAATAATAACAGTGAATAATAGATTTAAGAATAGAGTATAATCCCATTATCGGTAAAATTTATTTTGATAAAGTCTCACAGTAATATAGTATATAATATAGTACTATATATATATATATATATATATATATACTATGTAATACTATACAGTAATATTTACTGATGACGTTTCAAGCACAATTTATTGCTCATAATCATATCATGGTACTCATACAACTTTCTAACTTCGTTTATATAATTCCATTATTTTTCCTCGCTTGATTTGATTGGTAGTAGTATTTTCCATATTTCCCGTATGGGTGATGAGTCATTCCTATTGCACGTGTTGGGTGTAGACTTGATGAAGGAGGATTCAGTAATCAACCTCTATATCCACCTACCTATATTACTTCTTAGAAGTTTAACCCTATCCCACCCTAATGTGTGGTTGTGTGTTAATGCATTCAGTGTAGTCGTTGAGCTTTTAATATGCTACAACAGAAAATCTGCCTATAAAAATCCTTGTTTTGCTGAAAATCAGTATGTTCTCTATGATGTTCACGGTTAAATAGTTTAATAAAAGTTTGTGACGAGAGTTCCTTAATTTCAACATAGACTGTTTTCTAGTCACTGTACGGAAGAAGAAGAAAGGAGCCCAGGTTTTCAAAACAGCATCCGGTAAATGTGAAGGGTTACTGAGTCATAAGTTTGTTTCAACAAAATACCCAGAAATTCATAATAGTCAATCTCTGGGTAAAACTACGAATTCCTGTGTTTTATTTGCAGCCATTCGTTTGGTGCTGAGAGTTCGATGGCTGGCATTTGGAGTCATATCGTTATTTTTCAGAGGAGTATAAAACTTGAAAAGTTAATTCGATCAAAGTGATATAGCTTATAAATAATTTTTCCCTTTTCTATAGAAATTTTATTTAGGCATTGCACTATTCCACTAAGGTAATGTAAATAGTGACAAGCCACCTGTTATCTTAGGTAAAATAATTATGATTCATAAGTTTCACAAATGACCGGATAAGACAGCTGTTCATGATGAGATGCTTGTCCAGTTGAAATAAAGTCCTAATCTGTGGAGCAAAAGCTATCAGGCATTGGTCAAAATCATTCACTCTTCCACATCATATGGTTTTCATTGATAACGGTATGTTATTATCAAAAGATACTTATGCAACTGATCATATGTCGTGTGACTGATTTCAAGCATACCTTCACTTAAATACTCAGCTATCTATCTGCTTCAGCAGTGCGTTGAAAAGCTGAATTCTCTAGAAATTACACAGGTCCCTTAACACCTCTATCTTTTATTCAGCCTTCATTATTCTTATTTTCTCAGGGGGTGAGTAACCATTTAGGCTTATTTGAAAATGCGTTGGGTAGTGACAGTGTATCCAAGGCAAACTCATATTCTTAAGTTTCTTAAGATAGGAATCTATGAAATTTAAGTTAAAACAGTTTAACTAGGGCACACATGTTTTTGGACTTCTCACCATCAAGTTTCAACCAAAACTGAACGTTTAAAATATCAGAAATACTGTTTCATATTTCAAAATAATACCAGCAACAACACTGTGCAACATGATCATGCAAAAGAATAACAGGGTCACTCCCTTCACATTGCTGAGCCTGGCGAATGACGAGAAAAAGGCTGATAAGAACTCAGCTTCATCCATTAGACTCAAAAAGACACCCCCTAGGAATATACACCTCCGATTATTAAACATTACTGATCTTTTATTATTTTATTCTTTAACGTTTCCCAGGGCTTCAAGCTGCAGCTCTGAAGTCTCAGTAGCATTGGTATTTATTTTTACGGGGTGAGGTTGCTAGACTCATGCCCAACTTTTCCTCTTTACCAGTCTTATTATTGGCTTAGTAAGGTGAAGGAGTACGTCGGCCGGCGGTTGAACGCTGAACCACCTGCTGGGTTGGCGAGTATCCCACCTCTGTGCCGCCAAGGCACCATAGCTGATCCAGTCGCAGTCAGCTATTTTCACTCAAATCTTTGCTTATAAAAAAGGCTGTCTAATCCGTTGTACTCCCATATCTTTCATTTTCAAAGAGCATACAAAAGAATGAATTTTTTTCACAGTGGCAGATGACTGTAAATATTATCCTTATTTTTAATACTGTTTTAACTGCAGTTGTCATATGCAGTTGTAAACTGTGCGTATTCGACCATCGCCATTTCCGTAGAATTGCTTGCGTTCGATGGCATTATCGCACGAGGAATTCTGAGGTCTTGCGGCGTGTGTTTGGACACAGTGAAGATCGCCATTCGTTGAATGTTGTCATCTGGAAACACCAGCTTCAGAGGCTTGGCTATGTACGGTGAATGTCATTCCATGGGATTCCGTACAAGTCTCTGTTCGCTAGCCCTGGGGTGCAAAAAGCAGAAAGGCGGTCAGCCCATGACGTGGCGTCGTGCAATGAGAGATATTTGTGTTAGGTTATCGTGAGGCGCATCTTCTTGGTGCTATACTGTACCGAGCTGTTGCGATTAAATGTATAATATAATAAATAATTCAGTTGTAATCACATAGTTTAGTCTTAGTTTCTCACGTTTTCATGAGACTAAACGTCTTGACACCTCACTGAAGTGATATAATATTTCTTTTTTCTTTTTATACTTTACACAAACAGTCTCAAAAATTTGTAACGACGGACCACGTTGATTATGTAAACACTTTGGCGGTTTCAAACTAGATCATGAACAACATCATATAGAGAATCGATGAAAACCGATATCATTTGATCATTCCAGTTAGTGAAATGAGATATCTTTGTTTCAGAGAAACTATAAATTACTTAAACCTAGATATATTTTCGGGTCGTGCTCCGGAATAATGTGGGCACTTTCGGCATTTTCTCAAATACTGGCATTTTTACTGCAGTCTAAAGCTCGTGTTTTCAAACTGCTTACTTTCCCGTGTTTCTTGCCATTTTTCCACTGACCAATGTATTCAAGTCCATTGGAATCCGTATATTTTCCATTTCCGTGTCGAATTCCATTAACAACATCACCAACATACTCACTAAATAGAGAATAAAGATGCAAGGTGTTAGAAGAAGTAACCTTTTATTCAACCAAACAATTTTTCCACGCCCTGTAATTGTATTGGCTTTGAAGTCACCAGTATATGTTGCTCCTGTCTCTGACCAATGAAATTCACCATGGCCTTGCAGCAAATCATTCACAGTTTTCCCCTTTTTGATATAAAAACACGAAAAGAATATATGAAATTTATTGTATTAAGTTAATCATAACTAGTAGGTAGATTAAACTGGATGTCTGTATTTCCAGGCATTAAAGGAAATAGTATATGGTTATGTAATACTAATTGCACGGATCTATCAAAACTTCGAAAAAATGAAAAGTTCTCAAACAGTTACTAGATTTTGTATTATATGCGCATAAATGGTGCCGAAAAATCTACTAGTCAGAGAATACATTGAAATGATGATTTTAAATAACTCGGAGGCTGATCATATTACATGGAACAATCTTATATTACCTTTGTCATGCCGTCACAATCTGCATAATTCAAGCAACCGGATGGAGTACTGGTATGTGTCTTTCCTGAAAATGCTTTAAATAAGAACCATCAACAGATTTTATGTTGGCTTTTATCAAGCATCGATAGCAATAAGAAAAGTGTAGGACATTACCTGGAACTCACTTAGTGAATAATAATGTTGTCTTAGAATCAAAAAGTTTCGGTTTTCGTCTACATTGATTTCGCATACACATACATCATTGATGAACATTTTCACCTGAATTTTAATTACATTAGTCTTATATATTATGAAATAGGTTTTATTTGATTGGTAGTGATTTGCAATGGAATGCAAAACATGCATTTCGTTCTCTCTGAAACTCTTCATCTGGATGTACCTGCACCCTACAGAGTGAAACGTTTTCTGAATCTAGAACCTTTTGTCTTAGCAGAGACCAAATATTTCGGACGAACAAGAACAAACAACGTGAAATTCAAACTTCCAATAAATATGTGTCACATACTTTCTCTAAGAAGAATATTGAACCTCATCTTGAGGTTGTGGATTAATATGATTGTGAAGAATAAATTATTTACCAAACACTTCTTGGTAAATTAAACTATTTTACTACTTAGTGCACCTAATAAACATACTGAATTGATTTAAACAGTTTACGAAGGGCAAGATATTTAGCTTCTGACCTTGGCTTTCTTCGGTATTTATCTTCAGAAGCAATTAGTCTGACGTTTAGGTGGACTTATTTAGAACTATATCTCAGAAATAATTAATGTACTACCAATTATTTCTATGGTGTGTCCTCTATATCCATACTCATGCTTGTGAATATATATATATATATATATGTATCATACAACCAGTCCCCTTTATTAGTATGCACAAAGAAAGAACAAACATATTTGTAGGATGATACAAGCTCACCGCTACTCAGTGTTAACAATGAATAATTTGTCTACTTATATCATTTTTGGAATTGTGTTGTTTATAATTTCTATGTATAATTAGACATCACTGTGATAGAAGTATGTTCACTTATTTAACGACTTATATTTTGATAATGTCAGGATATACGCACTTGAAAAGAATCCACGAGATAAAACGAGCTTGTATTATCCAGTAAATATATTCGTCCTTTCTTTGTTCAATATATATATATATATATATATATATATATATAGCAAAGCGAGAATAGGGAAAGCAAGATAAGCTTTCATTACTCTCAAGTCTGTGTGGAGATCAACAGCACTCAGCATGAAAAATAAGATCCGGATTTTCAACTCCAATGTGAAGTCAGTGCTACTACACGGATCAGAGACTTGGCGCGTCATAAAGAGCACTTCGAACAAACTACAGACCTCCATCAACAGCTGTCTTCGCTCAATACTCAAGATCACATGGCCAGCCAGAAAAGATCAGCAATAGTGAGGGATCTCTGAGAGCGGACCAACCCAGCAGGAATCGATTGTGCAACAAATATGCAGGGATGAATGGAGGTGGATTGGCTGGCCATACTCTGAGGAAACTATCAAGTGAAATCACATGCCAGGCCATTGCTTGAGTGGAAGCCGAATGGGAAGCGACGAGTTGGTCGTGAGTGCGAGGGTGACATGGAGGGGGCCATGTGAAGAGGAGATGAAAGCATTTGGGTAGACGTGGAGCCAGGCGAAAACGTTGGCAGAGAGCCGAACGCAATGGCGACGTGAGGCTGAAGTACTATGTTACTCTAGGAACTAAAGGAAACAATAACATATATACATAATGTTTAGTGAAATGCAGTCTTTGAAATAAGTCATTGACAGACAGTTTACACATTTGCTGAAGAATTGAATGTCGAAGTTGTTCAGCATGTTCTTTCTGCTGAAATTTTAATTGCATCTCGTTGAAAATTGGTTTATCGTACTACTAAGGACTGTTATCTTCTCTGGATCAACTCGTTTTGTTTAAAAGTTTACTTTTTCCTTGTTAAGTCAATTACATATCCTTAAAATAGCTGGCGCATTTCAACGGTAGTAATAATTCTTTTGTGCAATTTTTAAAAAATTAGGTCATAATAACCAATATACTCCAGTCCAATTTGTGAGGTTGTTGAAGGTCTTATGGGCAGTTTCCATAAGACATCAGGAATGTTCATTTTGTCACCGTCCTATTTGATTTTATTATGGATTTACTGATGGATTTAAGTTCAATAAACTACAATTTTCCAAGGGCTGACATTGTCACAAGGGCAAAGTTTCGTCGAACAAGTGTATTCAGGTGACACAGTTATTCTAGATAAAGGATCTGTTAACATATAAAGCCTTGAGGACGCCTTGCGCGAAAATCCGAATATGGTAGGCACACCATTACTCGTTGTCAAATTTAAGACGATACCGCAGGACTAGCCTGCCCTGACTATTTGTTTGTGAAAATGCATTGGGATGATTCAGTACACTGATTTAGCTACTTATCTGGGGAGTCACATGAAACATAATGGACTGATTGCTGACGATATCTCAAGAGGGAGGCGAAAGTTTCCTTTGGCACTAGGTAAAGGTATGGTGTCTAGATGTCCACCAAAAATGTGTGCTGCGCAGCAGTTTCCAACCTTCTTTGAGCCTACCAGACTGTGATTAAATGTGGAATATTTGAGAAGACTATCAGTTTTCGACTATATGAGTCGGTATTCACTTTTTCGCGTTAGGTGGCTCTCTACTATAATCAGGTCAGTTGCATAGTGTTAGGTAAGGATGGACAGTTGACCGCTAGACTCTGATGTAACGTTGACTGGGATGGCTAGCAGATATGTTGTGAATGCTAAGACACTGCACTCCTCAACAAATAATTTAAGCAGAAGTAAGCTTAGTTTGGAAAAGAGCATAGGGTAGTTAGACCATGGGGTCTTTAACTATTAGTTTGAACCAAGTTCGGAGGTTCAGGACTGCCTCGTAGAGTCCCTCGACTTTGAAGTATGCACTTCTGGAGACTGTAAATTTTAAATTATAAGCCTGTGTGCAAAAGTTATACTTTAATAAGTTAGATTTGTCATAATTTTGAACTTTTTTCTTGAACTTTATAGTTTTCCTTCTTAGGTACTGTTTTAACACAATCTTTATTTTAGGCTTAGTTTCCTAAATTTGTGTTGTTGTATAATTTAGGCACTGCAGTCGAATTTAGTTTCGTATTGAATAAGTTTATTCGGTATAATATACAGTGATACACCATTATTGACGGGGTGATGTCTCAAAATATATGGATTCCCATAAAGAAAATAAAAGTAGTAATGTCAATAATAAGGAATTTACAGCCTCGATAGTACTTCCACATAGAGAAGGATCATTAGAAGCCTAACGTAAGAATCTTAATTAGTTGTAATTAGGGTGGCATTTAAATCTGCCAGCTCATGTGAAGATAAACTTAGTGGGCCTAAGGACCCGATAAATCCGGGTAAAAAAATAATGTAATTCAGTAAATACCATGAGTGTTTCGGTGGCACAGTAGTAGAATGCTCGCCAACCACATAAGTAGTCCGGGGTTTGATCGGCGGCTGACGTACTTCTTTACCTCGCTAAGCCAGTAATAAGACTGGTAAAGAGGGAATGCTGGGCATGAGGCTAGCCATCCCGTAAAAATAAACACCGCTATTACCGAAACTTCAAAGCTGTAGCTTGAAGCCCTATGTTCCACTGGGAACGTAAAGGAATGAAAAAAGTGAATACCATGTAGTAACTGTGAAGTCAGTGTTCTAAGTCAAACTATTAGACCAGGTTCACTTAGATTATCGGGACACAGAAATTCAGCCAGACCTAGGATGTCTGATCCTGATAAGTTAAATAGTCTAGAAGAAAACCTGGCCATTACAACGCTGAGCATTCACTTTCATGTAATCGCGCGATGGGGTTGGATAGGGTGGAAAGAGGTGAATGACTGAATCTTTGCTCGTCGAATGAATACCGAACTAATGGAATCACGATGACACAACAACCGATATATGGAAAGCTGCAGAAAATAACAAGAGAAAGTTAAAATGTATAAGCCAGTAACGAAGCCGAAAAAAATACACTAAGATAATTACAAACAACAAAATGTGCTTGAAACATCATTCATTTATCAGTACTGAATCATCGTACGTTATATCAAATAAATTCATCTTATATGTAATTTATTTCTTAAATCAAATTGACCAAGTTCATTCAGTCGATTGAAATTTTGTGTCAATAAACTCCTTTTGATAATTTACCTATCTTCTTCTTAAGCAACACTAGGTATTTTTAGCTTTTCCGCAAAATGTATATATATACAAGTGATTCTAAGGATGTTACTTCGAAATACTAACCTCAAAAGTGTTCCCATTTGCGTATTCAATTTGCACAACATTTCCCCGTCCTTTCTTAAATTCGTCAGAAAATCTTACATATATATAGGCACAAAATTTATTAGTACCTTGTGATAGTGGGATACAGATCGAAAAGTCGCATATAATTAGAAGCTTCAGTAATTTCTGTATTCTCTGTGGATAGCTCATTGTCCGACTGTATGTCAATTACATTTTCTTCATCATCTAGAATCTCTATTTTTGGAGTCGGCGGACTTGCCATTTCGAAAATGCGAGAGTTATCTCACTATAACACTTCTGTATTGATTATTTCAAACAAACATCATGTGTTACAAATCTTGAGTCTCCTTTACTGTGGGTTTGACATATGCAGTTATATCCGAGTGTTTTTTTTTCTAAGTATTAAATTTACTTCCCATCATAACTACCCAAAACATAATTTCGACACGCTCACAGAAAAAGCGTGAATTTGTTCATATTGGTAGGACCGCACAATCAGGAAACATACCGACTATGTTGAAAGGTAAAACATAACTTGTGTTCAGCAAAGAATTATTGCTATTCCACGACTTCATTTTTATGCTGTGCAGTCGTACGTATAATGCCGAAAAGGGCATTAAGTGACACTAAACATCCATAATGGTTAAGATTTTATTTTGATAAATCACACAGTGTTGTACAGTTATATTAAGTGACGACGTTTCGAGCACAAACTATTGCTCATAATCATATCATATCAACTTGATATGATTATGAGCAATAGTTTGTGCTCGAAACGTCATCAGTTAATTTAACTGTACAACACTGTGTGATTTATCAAAATAAAATCTTAACCATTATGGAGTAATACTCTACCACAGTGCCCAAGTTTTATACTTATGACACTAAACATTGCTCAGTTAATATACTGTTGATAGGAATAAAAATAATTTAAATGATTTACTAAGGGGGTAGAGTTGAAGCGGAGGAATTAAAAAACTTCTAGAGGTGACTAAATTAGTGAACTGGCTTAAACGTTTTAAGATTGTAGGTCAAGTGTAATCTTAATCTCTTAAAATTAGTAGTGCGATGGTGATAACAGTAGCGACAGCAAAGATGAAGTGAGGTTGAATGAATCCAAATATTAAAATAGGATAAAATGAAAGAAAAAAGTGAAGAAAGCGGTTAAACAGAACTTTTTTCAAAACATAATTTAGGTTTCTGTCCATGTTCAGCTATGCACAAGTGGGGAAAGCGTAAGCTTTTGGAGTGGTTGAATTTGGTCCTGCAAATAACTTTGAAGGATAAATCACGTCGGACTGATTGAGGTGACATTCACAAATTGAAAACTTTGTTGTCTTATATCCACTTTTCACTAACCGAACCGGATAGCGTTCTGCTACGCGTTCATGGAGAAGACGCTGACAACGTCCATTGTAACCAGCTCCACATGAGCATGCGAATGGGAATGTACACATAGAGGTGGATATAATTTTCATAATTTTCAAATACAGTGGGTGTGATATACCCCTACTACTTCTTAAATTCTTCTCGACATCTATGGACACTGGCACTTACCCTAATGAGTGGAAAACTAGCTTCATAATTCCACACTATAAATCCGGTGATAAGGCAAACGTCCGCAATTACAGACCTATAAATAAAACCCCAGTTGTCTCGCGAGTCATGGAGAAAGTTGTCAAAGATCAGTTGTCAGACTATCTACTTAAGGAAGATCTTGTTACAAGGTCTCAACACGGATTTCTCAAAAATAGGTCTTGCGTTACTTGCCACTTCGACTTTTTCAACTGCGTCACTAGTAGTCGCGAAGCACGTAAGCTAGTTGTTGTTCTCTACTTCGACATATCTAGGGCATTTGACATGGTATCTCACAGTATTCTCTTTGAGAAGCTGTATTCATGCGGAATTCACAATCCATTACTGAACTGGTTAAAATTGTTTCTAAGCAACAGGGTACAAATAACCAACGTTGGATCTGTATTGTCTCATCCTGGGTAGATCACAAGTGTGTTTGTGCAGGGTATTGTCCTAGGTCCACTTTTATTTACAGTATACATTAACAGCATTTGCAACTGCTTCACCTCAGGTAAATCATTCCTATATGCTGACGACCTCAAAGTCGTTTACTCCTGCCACGCCCATGAACTAAGCGATATGGTGAATAAAATACATCTTGAACTAAGTAGTCTCGCAACATGGTGTACTGAATCCTGTCTAAAGTTCAACATTGATAAATGAGGCTGGATTTGTATCGGAAACAGTAACCTTGACCTGAATCTTGAAATAAATGGGCGTATACTAGCCAAGCTCAACTCAGTCGTAGATCTCGGTATCAGATACTCTAATAACTTAACGTTCTCTGAACAAACTGATTATGCCAGACGTAAAACACGAAGGCTCCTGGGATGCATAACTCGCAATTTCTTTTGTTGTGAAACTAGGGTTTTATTATATAAAGTATGTGTCCGACCTATTTTAGAATACTGCCCGTTTATTCTTAGCGGACTCAGACAAAATGACAAGCTTAAGTTAGAAGGAGTGCAACGGCAATTCACCTTAAGAATTCTTGGTCTAGAAAGTGGTCTCCAGTACTATGAACGTTGCGACAGACTAAGTTTAGAACCACTCTGGAAAAGACGTCTTAAGCTAAACCTGATTTTTTACTACAAGCTAACTAATCTGCTGGTGCACTCCTCCGAGCCAATAATTAAACCTACCGCTGTCATCAGTTACAATCTTAGAAATCATAACAACCTAGCTGCTATAGAGCATTGTCAGACTTACATGCGGTACGACTTCTTCTTAAATAAGTTTTTAGTCATTTGGAATAGACTACCAGCTGATGTGCGCGATGCAAACACACTTCCAGCGTTCATCTCCTCAGTCACCAGACTGCTCAAAGATGACAGTGCACTTCTGAGTCTGAATCCTACACCCATTTTTTCGTCCAACATAGATATTTTAAGTTCATTAAACGTGTAGTTACAACAAACTACAATTATAAATTTTTATATTATTGGAAGTAAATGATAGACATTTTTACACAGGACAATAATATTAGCTCACACAATATAAAAGTTAGCATCACGGGAACAGTTAGTTAGTGCACCATAATAACTATAATTACTAAACAGAATATATATGTATATATACACATTAATCACCCCCTAAGTACTCCACTTGCTTTCTTTTGCGTTGTTGTTGTTTGTCTTCTTTTGTCTCTCACCATTTCAGCTTCCATTTGACTTTTTGAATGAGAACGAAGAATGTAGATATTTGCCCATTTACAATGACAAATGATCTGCAAACATTATTGGTCCCATAACTTACAATTCCCTCGTGAATTGCGCATTGCCTTCACCAACGACGCAACCTGGATTACAGTTGTGAAATATACCTTTATACCAATAAAAAAGTATTCATTTATAATACTTCACGATTGTAACTTACAACATAACTGATTGTACCTGCGAAAATAGCTTGCATTTCTTGAAAACACCCGTTTATAAGAAAATACAGACTGTCATTATTATTAGCCTACCTTGAGTACTATTCACTTGTGATGTTACGAAGAAAATGCTGACAAAAGTATACAAGTGCATTACTTATTTTAAATTATTATCAAGAATAAGACTCGATACCGTACACACCAAAGTTATATGGAGGAATTACTTCAAGCTTTATTTTTTTCCCAAGTATTTGTATGCCATCCAAAACATACTTGGGTTTTTTTGTTAATGCGAAGACAATATTTCTATATTTCTTGATGTGCTCCATTGAATGACTAGTTATCATATTGTTCCCATAGACAAAATGACTGCAACCTTATAATTTTACCATGAACCAAATTTATGTAGTTTAAATAATACTTATCCATGCCTGTACAATTGGTGTGTCCTACACAGGTAGGAAAAATGTATTTTATTAAATTACTATTATTAAATATGTTTACTAATCGTATATGTAATTTATCATATTGATGATGCCTGTAAACTGGCGTCCCTCATGTACAAAATGAGAATATACTATTATTTATTTATTTATAAGCGGTAGTTTAACCTTGACGTATTGTTGAATCATATTTCAGCTGATAGATACTAACTGCATATCAGCTGAATAAAAAGAGAGTTTAATACTTTAAGATAAACGACTTTTGATTACTTCAACAGTGCCACTTTCGAATGCCAAACTGATAAATAGTGTCTTCTTGAGCACTGTGATTTGGATGGGGACGGTTTCTTTCTTGGTGTTTCTATCAGTAAACCTTCAAAGATATCCATTACTTAAGGGTGGTTTGTGGAAGCTTTTAATTCTAAATCGACCGTATATACAGAGCACAATTCACCGAATTCTAGAGCATAGAGAACGGATAAGATTTCTCTTCCTACTTAGAGGTACACAACCGTTAGTGTCTTGCCCTGTATATGTTGGCTTCCGGTAAATCACCCTTCTTAACGTTCCATCCTCCCTCCTATGTAGCATCACATCTAAGAGGTGAACTGCGAAATTCGACTCCTCTTCGATAGTGAAAAGCATAAATGAGTGAGAAGCACTAAATTTTCCAAGATGCTCGGTATTTGACTAATTGTCTTCACAAATGATGAAGGTGTCTTCAATATGTCGCTTGTACATATGTGGACTCGAGATTGTTCCTTTCAATGCACCACTCCCGAAGCTTGCCATGAAGACATTTGATAGGAGAGGTCCTAATGGAGACTGTAAGGTGACTCCATCGCCTTGATTATAGATGCCATCATTAAATCTAAACCCCACATTAAGCGTACATCTCAATAATAGCTGCTTCAGACAGTTAGTTAGCACTCAAATATTTATACATCTTAGGTCGATGTAATCTAATCACATAAATAACAGATCGTTTCTCCTAGAGGGCAAACATCTAATGAAATCATATTCATCTTGGTTACATTAATTCTAACAGTGTAAGTGACAAAGTCAAGAGTGTCTGAAAGACACTGATCGCGTAGATTTAATCTTACTGGTTCAGAAATTTCGGCGAGGCATTCAGCTGTAGACTGGTTAGGAGAGGTTGGGCACATTTGACACAGGTTGCAGAGGGAACACGCAACCATGCAACGTCTTTATGCACCTTGGGAAGACGATATAAGCAAGGGATGGTTTGAGATGTTCTTACATGTACAGAGTGATAATAGATTCGTCCTTCAACTTCTTCTTAGTCTCCAACAATTCATTCACAACACCCTAAATTCTGTCTTTCTGGTTTACTGTAGTTAGAAATGAGGC